CAAGTTAGCTGGCTTGACACTACCCAGGGAAGCCAAAAGTGGTTCTATCATTGTGAAAGCACCCCACCCGCTCCTTGCCTTCAGACATGGCTTCTGGAAGCCAGGTGAGATAGTGCTGGGCCAGAAGGAGCAAAGGCCAGAGGGGAGAAAAAATGAAATGCTAAGGATGGATGGAGAGCCCCAGCTGTCTCACAGATGGAGACCTAGGCCTCAAACCCACCCGTGAGCTACTAGACTGACTTGTGGTTTAAGAGAAGCCAATAAAGCCAGCCATTGTCTTGGTTTTCTTAGCTCTTTTTCTCAAAGTTGGTACTCTATCACTTGAGTCACAGCTCCACTTCTGGTTTTTCTTTCTTTGGTTGGTTGGTTGGTGATTAATTGGCTATAAGAGTCTCACAGATTTTCCTGGCTGAACTGCCTTCAAACTTAGATCTTCAGATCTTAGCCTCAGGAGTAGCTAGGATTACAGGCATGAGCTTGGAGCACCCAACTGGGCCCAGTGGCCAATGCCCCCCCGCCATACAGTAGTTGCCCCTTGAATCTGCCAAATGTCCAACGTCTGAAAAACCATGTGAAAGATCGAGATTTCTAAATTTGGCTTACTCGGGAGGGTTCCATGAAGTTTTGCTTTTTTAAGGTGCATATTTATGGTCACAAAATGCTTGTAAGAGTGTTCATTAAAGGTCTCACAGTAGGCTTGACAAATACTATGATAATGCTATAAGAAGAACACTACCATTATAGTGGTTAAAGATGAGGAAATGGAAGTCCAGAGAGGCCTTGTTTGACCTTGGCCAACTTGTCCAAGATCACCCAGCTAGTAAATGATTTCCAAAGCCCAGTAGTAGGCTGCCTCTTAGGTCTCCAAAGGCTGTTCTTGTTGTAGGATCAGCCCAGAAAATGAGCTATTCACATCAGGCCAGACTAATCAGCCATAATCAGCCGGGCCTGACTGCGAAGGAGCTGCAGTGGGAGGCAGTCTGCAATCTGCATGAACGCCTGCCAGGGTGGCAAAAGATTCTGCTCTGCTCTTGGCAGGGAATGAATAATGGACCAAAAGTCACATGATATCTGAAAAAGTAAGAACGCCCTTACCTGACACAAAGTGCTATTGCACTTCCAGCCTCCAGAATGGAAAAAGAAATATACCTGCTTTCAAAATTACGCAGCACAGTCTGAGACCCCCAGCCCCTTGCCTTCCATTACACATCTGCAGCCTACTAATTAGAGTAATCGACGTAATGTATCACCTTTTTGTGTGCTGGTATGGGGGCTTGAACTCAGGGTCTGAGTGCTGTCCCTTACCTTTTTTTGTCCAAAGCTAGTGCTCTACCTCTTGAGCTACAACTCCACTTCTGACTTTTTAGTGGTTAATTGGAGATAAGAGTCTCATAGACTTTCCTATCTGGGCTGGCTTTGAACCACAACCTCAGATATCAGCCTCCTGAGTAACTAGGATTACGGACGTGAGCCAGTAATGCCTGGCAATAAATCTTTTTTCATATATGATTTTTCCCACTTCTTGTCTTTTCTTTTTTAATCTTATTATTTGTTTAAGAAAAAACAGTAGGTCATATGTAATGTTCCTGCCAAGTTTTCTTGGGAAGGCTGGGGCCTGTAATCCTGTAGGAAAGGTGGAAACTGACTTGTAGATGAGGCCATGTCATCTCCTAGGTCTTTCCAGGGGAGAAAATATCCACCAACAAATTTCCAGGGGAGAAAAGTGTGAGGTGTGGGGGGGGGGCGGAGGGAGAGAGGGGGGGGTTCCTTTCAGTGGACCCTGTGAATTAACTAAAATTCCACCAATTTTACATCTGTGCCCTAGAGGCTGTGTAGTACATTGTAGTAAAAGGGCTGCGAATCCAGAGATAACAGTGACCAGTCCATGCACCTGTGATTTGGGGCTGGGTTAACTATGCATTACATTCTCACTTCCTGCCCCCAACTCTTCTTATTTCACCTGAAGCCACTGTCCAACTCCAAAGGCAACTGAAGATGTACAGAAGCGACATCTTCCTATGGTCATCATGCAATCAATCTCCTTTCTCTGCCCTTCACCATGTCTCTTTATTTGGCATAGAGGGGAGAGTGGTTGGACCTAAGTTGTGAGTTCTGGACTTTGGGGCTGGGGTCTAAAAGCCTGGTTTCATACATATGTGTGTATACATATATATGTATATATAGAAAGAGATGAATGTATACGTATATAAACATATACAGAAACAGATAAATATTTCACTGTATCTATGTCTATGTGTGTAACTGATCAAGCATTTATTCTGGTATTTCCAATTCATATTCAGTACAACTAGGCTTTGACTTGTTTGACTTTTTGTTCGTATATCTTTTATGCTGAAGATCCTGGTTCCTAAGAAAGTTAGAATAATTGTGTAGCCAGGCATCATTGGCTCATGCCTTTAATTCTTGGCTACTCAGAAGGTTGAGATCTGAGATCATGATTCCAAGCCATCCCTGACAGGCATGTCTGTGAGACTTTTACTTCCAATTCACCAGCAAAAAGTTAGAAGTGGAGCTGTAGCTTAAGAAGTAGAGCACTAGCCTTGAGTGAAAAAAGATAAGGGACCATACCCAGGCCCAGAGTTCCAGCCCCAGGACTGGCACTAAATAAATAAATAAAGGCATATTTCAGATAACAGTAACACTGACAGGACTAGGGTAGTCCTGAGTTCAATCCCAGCATTGAAAATAATGGTACAAGAACACTGAAAACAATTTAACTGGGTTTTTTTTGGCAGCTCATTTTGTCCTGAGGATCTATCCCACTGAGGAGGCACGCGTGCATTCCTGTGGTGTTAAGTAATTTGAAGTCATACTCTGTGGGTTATGCCAATAACTTGAGTTATAATTTAATTGGTTTGTTGTATTTCATTTCCATTTTTTGTTGTATTTTGTGTGATAGTTACACAAAAACATTTAAAATGTCTCACAGTCAAAAAGGCCCTCAGCCAGAATCCCTCATCAAAGACATTCACAAATATCCACCAGCTACTATAACAAATGCATGGGATCCTTCTATTTCAATTCATCCCTGCAAGGGGGGGGGGGGTGTCGGGAAGAGTTCCTACTAAGTAAACAAAAGGTGTGTTGAAGACCAAGATTTACCTCAAAGTTAAGCTGTGTGTGTGTGTGTGTGTGTGTGTGTGTGTGTGTGTGGTGGTAATGAGCTTGAACTCAAGGCCTGTGAAATATCCTTTAGCTTTTTCACTCAAGGCTGGTGTTCTACCACTTGGGCCACAGCTCCTCTTCTGGGTTTTTGCTGGTTAACTGGAGTTAAGAATTGGGTATGTCTGCCTTGTTGGCTTCAAAACATGACCCTCAGATCTCCAGGGTAGCTAAGATTACAGGCATGACATATCTGTGCCCAGCTTGATTGGATTTTTTAAAATCTTTATGATGATCAAAAGGTGAGTTACTCGATTCTCTAATCTAAATCCTCCAGCTTCATCAAAACCTGGTGAGTGTTCAGGCTAGGGGGGAGGGGATGATGATGAGTTAAAAGGCAGTAAAAGGCAAAGTCCCTTGTCTCCAATTTCACAGATGTAACAACCTTCCCTCACTTTCAAGGTTGCTGGCAACTCTGGCTTTGCATGTTTCTTCAAAATATGAATGGAAAGTATATCATAGTTATAAAAATGGATTCCTTTGTGTATCTGCTGAAAAACTACTAATGTAACCTTTGTAACTCCTAAGTTTCTTGTTGGGAGATCTCGTGAGATCATATAAATGTCTTGATCTTTAGTCTCTGTTGGTAAATTCTTGCGTGCAACAATGACTGTGGTCTTTGCCAAATGATAATTTTCCCGTAGTCCCATCATTACTTCTGCATCTACTCATTCGAAGGAAATTAATTTCCTGTAAGGAAAAGTTCTTTACTCCCCATTTAGTTATTAAATTATGTATTTATGACTGTTTTTATTTTCTCACATATATTTATCACTCTCTGCATTTATTTTCCCTTCAAAGTCCTGCATCTTTTTTTGGGGGGGGGGGTCCGTTCATGGGGGCCTGTACTCTGGGCCTGGGTGCTGTCCTCCAGCTTTTTTTCTTTTTGCTGATGTGGTGCTGAGGAATCGAACCCAGGGTCTCAGGCATGCAAGGCAAGCGCTCTACCACTGAGCCACCTTCCCAGCCCAAGTCCTGGGTCTTAAGCCTCTGGGTAACAGGGTCACACAGGAGGTGTAAGATTCTGCTTTTTTCCAAGTAAAATTTGCATAGAGCAGCTCATTTCCAATCTGTTCTCTACAACAGTAGCCTTACCCTAAGAAGCAAAAGGTAAAAAAAACTGGGTTCAGGCGGCTCACATTTGTAACCCTAGCTACTCAGGGCACTGATTGCTGAAAGATCTGGTTTAAAGCCAGCCCAGCAAAGAAAGTCCACAAGATTCCATCTCCAATTTACTGGTAAAAAGCAAGGCTAGAGGTATGGATCAAAATGCTGCGAAAGCAAGCTCCAGTTTAGCACCCAAAGCAACAACAAACCATTAGCACCTACACAAAGCACTAATAAAGCCCTAAGGCTAAGCTGTTGTTGTTAATCAGCATTCTCTGTGTTTCGGGAATCAGTCTTGGGATTCTCAAGTACTTAAGGTCAGTGGTTCCCAACTGTCTTCTAAAGCCGGGAAGAACAACTTTTAGAAACTAGATGGCGTATATTTTGGCCTGACCCTGTGGCTAATTTTCATCGTTTTGGGTACTGAACCAAGACTACAAATGTAGGACCAGAGGAAGTGTAGGAAAGCTTGCAGGACTCCCCCTAGAGCTGGTGGTGAGAAATGCAAGGCCTTTCCCTCCCTACTTCCTTAAGCTCGCGTCCTTAACTTCCCGCCTCCTCACGTGGTGTCTTACGGGCCGCAGCTCCGCCCTCTCTGGCGCTAATACCTAACGAAAAGCAGTAGACCCCCGTCAGGTGGGCGGGAAAAGCTCGAGGAGACGTCCTGATAGGTCCGTAGATTGGCGCTGGAGCATGAGGTCACTGCGCTTCCTTCACTGCGTTGGAGGCGTGGCGTCTGTTCAGGGCGCCTGAAGGAGACTTGGTAACTCCCAAGCCCTTCTCTTCCAGAGGTTTCGAGTCGCTCCTACCAGCCGTTCTCGGCGCTCCATGAGGAAAATGCTCGCCGCCGTCTCCCGCGTGTTGTTGGGCGTTGCCCAGAAGCCGGTGAGACATCCTGAGCGAGCAGACGGGATGGGGCCCGGACCGGGGCTTGGGAGGGGACAGTGGGGCCTCCCACTGGGATCTGGGGTGCGGCAGGGGACAGCCGCGGACTCTCATTTCCGCTTCGTCGCCGCGCATTCCGCCCGGGGAGGGACGGCGTGAAGCGGTCGCGTGCGCCGCGGGGGAAGACGGGTGTCGGCCGGGTCCACGCGGGGGGCGGGGGGGGGGGAGAAGGGGGGGCAGAGGGAGGGTGTCCGGCCGCACCCCTCCCCCACCCCCGCTCCCAGTTCTGCACCTGGCGCGCCAGGGGGCTCGGCTCGCCTGCTGGCGCCAGGGACACATGCGGCTCGTGCTTCCACCTGTCTCCCCTGACCTCCGCTCGTCCTAGTACCATTACTCTTGACCTAGAGGCTGTGTAGTACATTCTAGTAAAAGGGCTGGGAATCCAGAAGCCGAGTTAGGCATGGCTTCGTCATTGACTCGCCCTTAAGCAAGCACGAGAAATTAAGAGTGTGTACTGTGTGCGCGCCTGTGTGTGTGTGCGCGCGTGCGTGCACGCCGCCCCTGGGGGGAAGCAGAGTATTTTTGCCCAAGACCAGAGCTCTACCAATTTGAGCCACAGCTGCACTCTTGTGTTTGACTTGAGGTACAAGTCTCATGGACTTTACTGCCCAAGCTGCCTTCCCACCGTGGTTCAGATCTCAGCTTCCCAAGTAGTTAGGATGTCCCTTGGCCCAGGCTCCTTATCTCTGAAGTAGAGATTAAGAGGCTCTATCTAACTGTTGGGGTTAGCACGATGATTCAAAGAGAGGTATGTGTTATAAACTTTTACACATAAGTAGTGCCTGGCACCCCATACGTGTCATATATTTGGAGACTATTTCTAGGTTTAAAAAAAATTTTTTTTTGGTCGGTCGTGGGGCCTGAACTCTGGGCCTGGGCGCTGTCCCTCAGCTCTTCAGCTCAAGGCTAGTGCTCTACCACTTGAGCCACAGTGCCACTTCCGGCTTTTTTCTTTTTGCTTATGTGGTGCTGAGGAATCGAACCCAGGGGCTCATGCATACGAAGTAAACACTCTACCACTGAGCCACCTACTCAGCCTTCTGGTTTTCATAATGTCAAATTTAGCTACACACTTGTTGCACACTTGTGCTTGGCTTGGAGTTGGGTTCAGATGGGGTGAGGCACACCAAAAACAAACTTCCTCCCTCCCTCAACAGCTGAGCTTTTCTTGGCAGTCAGCTGTACAGCAATCATGTAGAACCCAGAGTAAACTGCCTTCATTCTTAAGCACACACTGATCTTAGGGTTGGGGTTAGAGAATAGGACTGGTTCCAGTTTTGTTTTTTTTTTGTTGCAGTGGTAGGACCTGATCTGGGCCTGGGCGCTGTCCCTCAGCTCTTCAGCTCAAGGCTAGCACTCTACCACTTGAGCCACCGCACCCCTTCAAGGCTTTTTCTGCTTATGTGGTGCTGAACACAAGGACTCATGCATGCAAGGCAAACACTGTACTACTGAGCCACCTTCCCAGCCCTATTCCAGCTTTTAAATGTGCCATAATACCTAGGCATGGAGCACTTGGACCTCTAGTCACACTCAGATGGTGTTGGTTTTCTCTACTGCTAAGCCTTGACTTGTAATTTTGGTTCTAGCAATTCCCCCAGGATTTGATGTAACTCTGCTTGATAGGGGCAAAGCATTTCAAAAGGTAGGAAGCGAACGGCTTTACGGATTCCAGACTTGGGAACAAACTAGCACTCATCACATAATATATTAGCTTTTGACTTGTAACTAAAGCACATTTGCTGTTAGCTCTTTCTGTATGCATTCATGGTAGAGCCAACATTTATTTTTGTAATATGTGCCAGACACTAGGCTAGGTACCCAGAATATCACTTCTTAGTTGAACATGAGTAATACTGATATATTTTCAACATTGTATAATAATTCCTTGGTCGTAGGCAGAAATTTGTTAGCCAAAGGTAGAATGTGCTTATGACATTGAGATTCAGCTAGGAATAGAAGCTAGAGTCTTTCTTACTGAAACTTACACACCTCAACAGTGAAAAGGAACAAGCACCTCAAAAATGCTACTGAACATCAAGGAACAAACACTGTTACAGAGGACATATCTCCTTCCTCTGCCTCCAGAAGGAGCCAACACAAGATTTAGGCTGCTCAAATTACAAAATAGCAGACTCAAATCCATTGTTTTTAAGTCAGTGTTAAATATCTTTGCTTCCATCTTAAATGTTTCTTGCTAATGTATTTACCTCATACTACGTACGAGTAGTAAGAAACGTGTCCTCCTAGATCTATGTCACAGAATAGTAAAATTTGCCCCAAATAGAGATTGACTGACAGTTTTGTTTGAAGCATAATTTTGAAAGTGAACCTTAGATTTCTCAAATAAATCGTATCAGGTTATAACCAAGAACAACATAACTAAACAATGCTCGCAGATTATCCATTCCTCTGGCCATTTATTTTATTATATTCTCACCATAATGTCTTTGAAAACAGAGTGGCCAAGTGGATGAGTTTGATTTTTGTCGCCTTTCTTATTCCCTCAGATAGAGATATGGTTTGTATTTCATTGGCCAAAGCATGGATTAATTTTACATCATGATGAGGAAGATACGGGCATAGTGAACAGAAGAAGCTTGCCAGCATCTGGGGGCTTACTTTCCATGACTTCATCCTGCTGGTTGATTATAGTAGTGACTTTCTAAAACAATGGACATTAAATATTAAACATTTGTTTGCATATTTTTGTTTTCCTAGGCAACCAGAGTGCTAGTGGCATCGCGTAATTTTGCAAATGATGCTACATTTGAAATTAAGGTAAGCGATATTTAATCTTGGGTTAATCATTTTTCCACAGGTACACTCTGATAATATTTTACCTTTAGAACATTTTGATATTGGTATTTTTTTAAGTCATTTTCTTCTAATGTTCCACAGCCAAAGGCTCTGAGAACTTTAGCAAAAATATGTTAATCTTAGCAGCTTGCTGGTAGTTCAGAAAAGGAGTGGAGTTGTTGTTAAAAAAGGAATGGAACTTATTCCAACGTTCAGGACATGATTCAGCTAAACGTTTGAATAAGAAGGTTCTTCTGGTTTTTAATTTTTATTTTTAATTTATTTTATTATTTTTTGGTTGGTTGTGGGGCTTGAACTATAGGCCTGGGTGCTGTTCTTGAGCGCTTCAGCTCAAGGCTCGCACTCTACCACTTGAGCCACAGGACCACTTCCAGCCTTTTCTGCTTATGTGGTGCTGAGGAGTTGAACCCAGAGCTTCGTGCATACGAGGCAAGCACTCTACTGCTGAGCCACCTTCCCGGTCCGGTTCTTCTGTTTTGTTTATTTTTAAGTTTTTCAATCTATAATTCCTCAATTAACTTCTAAGGGTTTTCAGTGAAAATCACCTCAGAGAATTTCCTTCAAAACCATATCCCTTTGCATAATGAGATGTATAGACTTAAGGAGTTAGAAACATTTTGTAGCATTGCTGATATACTCCTTGTTTGTTTTGTAAGCTATTTGTGAAATTTGGATCTTAGATTGAGTCAGCAGAGTTTGTGATGTAGTAACTGCAGCATGACCACCTTCATTTCAGAAATGTGACCTTCACCGACTGGATGAAGGCCCTCCCGTTACAACTGTGCTCACCAGAGAGGATGGGCTCAAATACTATAGGATGATGCAGACTGTGCGCAGAATGGAGTTAAAAGCTGATCAGCTGTATAAACAGAAAATTATTCGTGGTTTCTGTCACTTGTGTGATGGTCAGGTGAGGATAAATTTGTAATAAAACTATATTTAGGTATTTGCATATGGTTTCAGATTTTAGCCTGCCTTTAATGCTAACAGGATTTGAAAACAAGAATGCCAAAACCCACTGTGAAGCTTAAGCTAAAGTATTCATTCACTAGGAGCATTGATGATTTCTTGCATTTACTCTTAAGTTTCACTATTTTAAAACTTTCTGCTGTCTCAATCCTATCTAAACTATATACATTCTTAGGAGGTAGGGTTATTAGTTTGCTTTGATGCTTTGCGGGTTTAGGTCATTGGCTGATCACAAATTCCAGTGCCTACCAGGCCCAGCTAGGTAGAGTGAATGAGTTAAGAAGGCCAGGTATACAAAACATGGAGAATGGTGACAGAGACCATTGGTGAACTGGGCCAGGTATGCCCCACCCAGACATACCCAGACTTGATTGCAGCTGGTTGGTACCATGTGGGAATGGGTCTAAGTTTTCCTGTTCATTTTTTCTAGAAGATAGACCTTTCAAGATTTTCATATGACTTTACCTCAAGTTTGTTTTTTTGGTTTTTTTCCTGGTACTGGTTTTGGAACTTGGTGCACAGGTGCTTTATCACTTGAGACACTCCCCAGTCCTTTCCCTCAATATTTTAATGTTGACATGATGTGGATTTTCTTGTTTGTATCATACAGGTTAAAGGAAATAACACATCTGTGGGTTCTTAGTTCATGGCTTCTGGTTTGAGTCTCCACTCTGTTTTTGGTGAAGAATGGCTACTTTCTGTGGTTATCATGCTAAGTTCTGTTAGCCAGTGTTGTGTAGCACTGGCTCTAACAGAAACTTTATTTTTAATCCATAAACATGTACCGTGTTGCTTCATAGTTTCTTCTTCCTTTATAGGAAGCTTGCTGTGTGGGGCTCGAGGCCGGTATAAACCCCACAGACCATCTCATCACAGCCTACCGGGCTCATGGCTTCACCTTCACTAGGGGTCTTTCTGTTCGTGAAATTCTCGCAGAGCTAACAGGTTAGCTATGGGTTTACAGAAAGGGGGAGTGAGTGGATTGAATTTGCAGATAACTCCCATTAAGATCCTAACCCTTATGAGAGTAAAAAAAAAAACTTCTGAGTTAAAAAAAAACCCTCTGTTTGATGCTCTGGTACCTGTTGTATTATTGAGTATATTAACCATTGATGTGGTCATCTGGTCCTTATGGTAAAAATTCTTAAAAAGTTAGGTGCTAACTCAACAGATGGGGTTTGTTATTCCTCAAGTATGTCAGCCAGAAATCTGATAATAGTCATATAAAGCAAATTGACGGTACTTTTATATGTAATGTAGATTCTAAGAAAATCTTTTTAGTGGTCCCTTCTATGTGCTCCTTTACTCTGTTGAGTGTAGCAGTGTAGAAGTCAGCTGTGAATAACTGACCAAAAAGAAAAAAAAAGACATTTAGGATGATGCAACTAAATGATTGGAGAGCAAGGTCATGGAAAGGACTTGGAGATAGAGATAAGAAAACATTTCCTTGGAAGGGCAGATGCCGACACAGTTGAACTAGTCTCAAAGTAAAGACGGGGCGTGGTTTGATTTGCTTCTTGTTGGCTTTTGATGTGTCTGTGTGTGTGTACTGCCATTTCTAGGACGAAGAGGAGGTTGTGCTAAAGGGAAAGGAGGATCTATGCACATGTATGCCAAGAACTTCTACGGGGGCAATGGTATCGTTGGAGCTCAGGTAGTGAAGGATGAACACCTTTCCGTACATTTGGTCATGACCCATGTCTTCATAAATTTGCATACTCCAGAGAACTTTATTGTCTCTTCCCTTGCTATTTGAGCAATTAACAAGTAGGTTGGATATATGGTTGTTACTGTTTTGTAAGTAAACAAGATCTGCTAAATCTCTATTCTTTCACCTTTTAATTCACATTTCAGTACATTAATTACTGCTTCCACCTGCTTCTAGGCAGTGCTAACTCTGGAGCCAAATTAGAAGATGGGGACAGTCAGGATTATCAGGTCTAGTAATGATCGAAAGCTTGCTCTCACCAGTTGGTGAATGATAAATGGAGCATTGGTGAAAAATTATGTCTAATTTAGTAAGGGTCTGTTATCCATATTTTACAATTAAGTTTCTTCCTCTGACTCTTTAAGTTTCATTGCTTGGATCTTTGAGTACAGAAATGTCTTTGCAAATGGTCATTACTCATGTTACTTTCCTAACTTGTTGACAATAGTCCGTTGAGTGTAGAAACAGGGTTAGGGAAGGAGGAATTAGTAGCAGCAGTGAAATTTCCATCTCCAGTTCTGTCCAAGAGTTAAAATTAACAGCGTAACTCAGATTTTTGTGGTTTGTTTCTTGGTTGTCCTTAATGTTAGGTACCCCTGGGAGCTGGGATTGCTCTGGCCTGTAAGTATAATGGAAAAGATGAAGTCTGTTTGACACTATATGGTGATGGTGCTGCTAATCAGGTAAGTGTGTCTCTTAACTTTCCAGTAGCAATTGTTAGATTTCCTAAGTGTTGAATAGCTGCAGTTGATTTGGTAAGGAAATGCTTAGTTGCACTCATCATGGCTCGCTCTTGTAACCCTAGCTACGGGAGTGGGACTAGGAATGGAAAGTGAGTTAGAGATTGGGGGATTTTGGTTTCATGCCAGTTAGGGCACAGAGTTCTAGAAATCCCATCTCAACCAATAAAAGCTGAATGTGATGTGTGTACTTGTGCAAAAGGCTTAAGTAGGAGAATCGAGGTCTAGGCTGGCTCCCGCCAAAATACGAGACCTATTTAACAAAAATAACTAGAGCAAAAACAGATTGGGAGCATGGCAGGACTGAATTCAAGACCTTAGAGCTAAAGAAAAATCCTGTTTGAAACAAGCTCATGTGCTATGCCAGACTGCAGTGCAGTATGAGCGAGCTTCACTATCACTTTCCCTCCTTTACGACCACCAAGACCAGCATTCAGATCTGATGGGAAAGAGAAGAGGGTGGTTTTTGCTTTTTAGTTGAAAGATCATTTCATAAAGCAAGTGAACTTTGGTTTTATAAGCATGTTAGCATGTTACACGTGACACATTTTACCAGTCTTACAAGCAAACATTCCTGAAGAGGTACCTTTGCTCTACATTTGCTCTGTAAGTACTCTGTGATAGATGACTTTTTCCCCCTAATTTAAATTTCTAACCCATTGCAAACCAGAATAGAACCATACAGACCCATTACCTTAGATGCTCAGGCAATTTCAAATTCATATAATAGTGTCTGAGCCCTAATTGTTCATTTCTTGTTCTCTTTTGGTCGGAATAATTAGCAATCCACAGAAGGCACTTGGTGAGGTCCTGTATTTGGTGTTGATTCTTAGATGCTGGTTTGCCCTGATTATCCACTGGATCTGATAGATTTTAAAGAAAGGCACATATTAAGTGAAGGAAGCCAGACCTAAAGAAACATAGGGCCCATGGATTCTCTTATTTTCAGTAAATAGCATACATCTAGGAAATCTTAGCAGATGAGCAGAAGAGCTATGTATGGATGATTCTAAGTGAAATGAACTCAAAAACATGGACACGAGGTTTTTCTTTGTTGTTGTTGTTGTTTTTTAAGTGTACTATGTGATTTTTGGTTTCTTTTGTATGTTCTTCCCCCTATGGTATATCCCGTTGTCACCGTATTTGATTTTGGTACCCTGGTATTGTATATACATTTATCTGAATTAGAGGAAGGGAACAACAGAATGGCGAGACAGAAGAGAAGTGGGGAACCAGCATAGCAGTGATATACACAAGACAATATGTTGGAAATAATCTGTATAACGCAGTGGAGGGGGAATTGGCAGGGAGGAAAATGAGGGAAGGGGTAACAAGTTTGACCAGAAATGTATTTTTAACCTTAATTATGTAACTGTAACCCCTCTGTACATCAGCTTGACAATTAAAAAAGTATAAATAAATAAACAAATGGCTTGTAGAAAAAAAATGGCATAACTAGCCAGACACCAGTGGCTCACACCTTATATACTAGTGACTCAGGAGGCCGAGATCTGAGGAATGCAGTTCTAAGCCAACCCAGGCTGGGAAGTCTATGAGAGTCTTATCTCTAATTAAGCACCAAAAAAACTGGAAGTGGAGCTATAGTTCAATTGGTCGAGTACTAGCCTTGAGCAAAAAGCTCAGGGACAGCACTCAAGCCCTGAGTTCAAGCCTCGGGATGGCACAAAAATAAGGCCTACCAGTAAAATAGTCACTTGTTTTTAAATGTTGAGCCTCTTTTTAATAAACTCAGTAGTACTAGGAGTACTAGTCCTACAAAAAACAGATAATAGGATTTGATTTGTAAGTTTCCTTAGTTGCAAGAATATGATGCCTGCTTCTTCTCACAAGCACTCCCAAACACACACACACAGTTCATTCACATCAGAAATTTTGAGAAAATGAGTCTTTGGCCTTTATGAAAGCCTTTCTATAACCATGGATGATGATGAAATCTGGAACCACTTGAACGTTTTATAAATACTTCTAGGGTCAGATATTTGAAGCTTACAATATGGCAGCATTATGGAAATTACCGTGCATTTTCATCTGTGAGAATAACCGCTATGGAATGGGAACGTCTGTTGAGAGAGCCGCAGCCAGTACTGATTACTACAAGAGAGGAGACTTTATCCCTGGGCTGAGGGTAAGGACAATTGTTGGGTAGCCAAGGCTACTCCCTGTCAGCTAGGTGCCCTTATGCATGCTGTTGAGCAGCTTGGCAAAATTGAGTTTGGTTTGCTTACATATAAACAGATTATATAAACTAAAATGTGAGGGCTAGGACTGTGACTCAGTGGTAGAATGCTTCCCTAGCATGTGCAGGATCCCAAGTTTGATCTCCAGACCTAGAAAAGAAGGAAAATGGATTTGGACAGTTCGACTTACTTTTTGCCCCTTCCACCTTTATTCGCAGGTAGATGGGATGGATATCTTGTGTGTCCGAGAGGCCACGAAGTTTGCAGCTGCCTATTGTAGATCTGGGAAGGTAAGCCACTCCAAAGACTTTGTCTTCCTGTGACAGCAGGTTTCAGCTTAACAGAAGGCTTCCCACATAGCCATTGTAGCAATCCAGAGGTAGCTGTTAAGTGATGTGTATAAAGAAAGAGTCCAGGCAAGCAATTGGGGTCCCTCTATGAATAGCATGATCATGGTAAGACACCTCCTATAAATCTTTTTCTCTAGTGCTCCCTTGCCTCTGTGTTCTTGACCATCTGTTTTTACTTTTTGTTTAATTGTGTCCCTTCTCATTATTTATCCTACAACCCTTGACTTATCAGATTGGGCTTTCCCCACAGTACCCAGCCAAGAACTGTGCTTATATACTAAGGCATTTGATAATTTTACACAAATTATAATAGCAAGACTGACATGTGTAATCTTAGTTTCTGCTTTGGTCTTGAGGATCTTTATTTTTTAGTATACAAATGGCAGTGAGGAAGAAGGGAACAGTGAGGTTGACCTAAAGAGTTTACTTTGATCACTAGGATAAGTTTAATAGTATGCACACCCCAGTGGCTTACTTTTCTGTTGTTTTTAAAATGAAGGATGGCTAGGAAGGTGGCTTAGTGGTAGAGTGCTTGCCTAGCTTGCTTGAAGCCCTGGGTTTGATTCCCCAATACCACATAAACCCCTCTGTACAATAATGAAAAAAAATTAAAAATCAGTTAACCAATTATTGCCAACTCATTTGCATATCTGATAAGACATCCATTTGAGGTTGGGAATCATTGGCGCTCTATTCCTTCTGTCTTATCTAACCATTTACGGGTTCATTTTAGGGACCTATCCTGATGGAGCTGCAGACTTACCGTTACCATGGACACAGCATGAGTGACCCTGGAGTCAGGTAGAGTCACGGGTAATCTATGATTCAAAAGTGGGTAGGCGGGCTGGGAAGGTGGCTCAGTGATAGAGTGCTTGCCTCGTATACATGAGGCCCTGGGATCGATTCCTTAGCACCACATAAGCAGAAAAAAACGGAAGTGGTGTTGTGACTCAAGTGGTAGAGCACTAACCTTGAGCTGAAGAGCTGAGGGACAGCACTTAGGCCCAGAGTTTAGGCCCCACGACCAACAAAAAAAAATTAAATTGGGTAAGCTTTGATTAGTGTTACTTACATGAAAAGGAAGAGCATTTCAGTGTTTACTTTTGAAGTCAGATAAAAGTTCATTTGACTAGTGAAATTAGTCTCACTAGCATCAAGTAACTTAAATTTGACTTAGTCTTAAAGCTTTCTTCTAATAAATTGCTTCTGATATAGAAAGCATTCTGAAAAAATCTTCACAATACATAAGTTTGTTGATATGAACAGTAATTCTACACATGGCCTGTAACTAAACTACAGAGAGAAACTAACTGAAAACAAATCTGATGATAGATGAGCATATTTGGTGGCATTTAGTTTATAATAGACATTAGCCTAAATTCATGCATTGCAACACTCCCTGCAGAGGCCTGGGGTTTGGGGAAGTTCTGGATAACACATGGGTTGTTCAGTAAATTGAAATAGATCAATCAAAAGAGCTAGGTGATACAGGAAGATCAGAGTTTCCCTTTTTCACATAGCTCTAGCACATAATTCTGCAAATGATGGTTTGATAGAATTGAAAGAAGTCAACTTGGTCAAAATAAACAAGGCTTTGTAGAATGAATTAAGGTACACATGTAAACAACACAGTATGTAGAAAAGGGCATTTTGTGTTATTTGGTCTTAGAAACGGTAGTTCTTCCTTTTTGGTGTTGTTTCAGGTGCAGTAGGAAAAGAATTACAGAATCGAGAGTCAGAAAAATCTAGCCCCTAAGTTTTTGGTAGCCATACTTCTTTGCAGTCTTAGAGAGAAAGGCAATGCATGTGTATTTTTCTGCTGATGTTCTAATGCCTCAAAGTCTGTAATTCTCCCCACTGTTCTCCCACTTGTGTAAAAATAGAGGAGTGCCAAGTAGTCGGACAGGTAACACTTCTTTCATACCCTACTCCCCATTTGAAACACCAAACCAAAACTTGAGCCTTCTTGTCAGAATGCTGGAGAAGTCCTGTGTGTTACAGTTTCCATAAAAGATGCAAGAAGTTCTTAAATGCCACTAGGCTGCCTTGGTTAGGTGTCCCCCTGGTATTCCCATAGTAGAATCAGTATTAATGTGCTTTTCCCTTACAGAAACACTCTTGTATTTCACTAAGCTGTTTGCCCCACAGGAACTCTTCTCACCTGTCTCTAACCACCTCTCCTTCCCCACAGTTACCGTACACGAGAAGAAATTCAGGAAGTAAGAAGTAAGAGTGACCCTATTATGCTTCTCAAGGATAGAATGGTGAATAGCAATCTGGCCAGTGTTGAAGAATTGAAGGTATAGTTGCTCTAGTGGTTTAAGTCTGGCTTTAAAAAATTGGTTCTCCTTTCTCACAATCAAGTTTTTCCCTCACAAACTGTCACCATCCCTGCATGGCCACAGTCCTGGGTGTTTGTCCAAGCTCTGAAAGTGTTGAGATGGAGCATTAATTCTGAAATCTGTTCTTTATTAGGACTTGGTGGGCAGTGACCTGAGTCAGTAGGAAAGCATTTGCTCCGAAAAGACATTAATTGGATTGGCAAAAAAGTCTTTACCCTTCTCCCCAGTTTTCTTAAAAGTATTTTTCTAAAATAATGTGCTTTGGATTTTTAACTCATAAATTATCCTTAGAGTATCTTACAATCTTTAAAACCAGCAATAGTTGATACTTCTACTTCAAGTGACCCTGGCAGCAGGTCTGAGTAGAACTAGTTGGTACTGACACTGCTGTTGATTCAAAACTCTCTTACAATGTAATCTGATATTCAGGAAATTGATGTTGAAGTGAGGAAAGAAATTGAGGATGCTGCCCAGTTTGCCACAGCTGATCCTGAGCCACCATTGGAAGAGCTCGGCTATCACATCTACAGCAGCGATCCACCATTTGAAGTGCGTGGTGCCAACCAGTGGATCAAGTTTAAGTCAGTCAGTTAATGGTAGACTGTAATCATGGGCTGTTTGTCGGCGACTGTAAGGAACTCAGTGTTATCAACTTTAAGGAAGACTAATAAGGAATATATCCAGCAAATGAACATCTAGGAGACTTTCATTATGCGTTGACTAAGTAGCATGTAAATTAATGGGAAAGTGATGCATGCTGGTTGTACATTGTTGCATTAGAGAAAGTTACTAAGTACTTAGATATTTTGTGTGAATATCATGAAGACTGTTGGATTTGTATAGGTCTAAAATAGTTCTACCAAGTTACCCCCTGCTCCCTTTTCTGGGATCATTCCTGTACCCATGGCTCATCTACATAGGATAGCAGCTACTTGAGTCATTTCTCCAAAGTAAGACACAATATTTATTTTTATAACAAAGTAAGAGGTGAAAATATTTACCATTTAAAAATAAGACTACAGCCATTTCAAATGCAAAATAACTTAGTTCTGTCTCCATTTGTACAGTCAACAGTCAACATAAATATGACGTTATTTTCATAAATTGCAGTTCCATCACATTTAAATGAAAGGCACATTTGTATCAATTTTACCTTCCAACTCTAAGCACTATATTAGTGAATAACTTACATCTTAAAACAGTGACAGCTAGCCTATTATTTAGCCACACTTTGGTTTATCTTTCCAGCAAGTACTTTGTGTGCTGATAATGAAAGAAAATTAATAAGCGTTTTACTCTGGGATATCAAAACTAAGGCTCACTGTTCACATTACATACAGTTCTATAAATCTTTAAAACATTTATAAATAACAGGTTTAAAACTTTTCAGTAAAGACAGTCTTTGAACAATGGTAGGTCTTCGTTTTTCCTTGGGTAAACTCCAAACTTAGGCACATGAACAGAAGCTTTAACCACAAATGTGTGGTATTTGCCTGCTCTGTCCTCAGGCTTAGCTGTCAGTGACTAAACCTAATCTGCAGTGGTTGAGGACTCCTGAGCCTGTCTTCTGTGCTGGGAGACCGCGTGCCAAATCCTGCAGAGGACACCACCACTGCAGAACAAACAAGAGTTAGCATGGGAAAACTGAGTTTCAAATCAACCACTCCAAAACAATTCTGTAGAAGTCATGTGGCAAAAGGCATAGTATACATTCTAGATTTGCCATCTACTCCTCAATGCAGTCTTATTGGCATAATGGTACACACCTGTAAGGGTATGGCTCAGGCAGTAGAGAACTGGCCTAGCAAGTGTAAGGCCTTGAATTCAAACAATATCTCCAAAAATGTGTATTTTCTTCATATGTGTAGGTGATACATGTGCCCCAATGGTAGGGCATGCTATACAGGAATCTCAGTGGCTCTGTGTAGAAGTGGCAATATAAAATGCCTTGCACAGAAGAACAGGCTGTGCTGTAGGAAGGGTCTTGGCCTGGTGCCCTGGAACCTCAGGCCTCACCTTGGCCTTTTCCTAACATGAACCTATCAGAATTTCAGATTTTGGAAGGAGGATGGGTAAGGTGTTGTAAAACATAGGAAACTGAATTCATTTCAGGGAGCCAGGAGCAGGTGGCAGCACTTAATTTGTATTATCATTTTAAAGGATATTCACAAGAAAATAAATACGCAAACTGTTTTGAAGATCTTACCGTAGTCTAAGGTATCTTAAGTCTTCCTTAGTGATATCATTAAGAATATGAGAAAGTGTATAATCCTCTTGAATAATCTGAAACCGAAATTGGATATGATATGTAAGAGAGAAAGCTTGTAAACAGTATCATAGGAATAGTTGGGGGTTATAATTTTACCCTTTCAATTGTATTTGCATCCACTCCTTGTAGCTGCAACCAGTCTATAAGCTCTTTGTCTGTTCCCCGCCCCTGCAGGGGTTCTGGATTTTCTGTATTACCTGTATTGGTGAAAAATTTGTTTTGTTTTAACCTGTAACCATGAAATGCTTCAAAGTAAGGTTGCAATGTGCAAATAAGCTGAGTCAAACTTGTATCATTCAACTGCTTTAATAAAGTGTTATACAATTCATAATCATCAGATTTATTTTCTGGAGAAAAGAATCCTCCTTATCCATAATGCTTTTTAGTGAGTAAATTTGACAGGTTACTGGTCTCACCTTAAATGCATAGTCAGCTCTAAAATACCTTTTCTTAGGGAGTATATCCCTAACTACACCAAAAATCAAATGAGGAAATAGGTTGCAATAATACAGCTTATCCATTCCACATTCCAAGAGGGAGCATACAGGGTTTTTCTAAGGTGCATACAGTAAAAAAGGGTAGTTTGCTAAGGCATAATTTAGCTAGTAAACAGTGCCTTTAAAGTGTATATATATTCACAAATATGTATTGAAAATTTTGTTTTGAATCAGAATCTTAAAATATAGTTCTGCCTCTGCCTCCCAAGTACTGGGGTTATAGGTGTATACCACTGCACCCAACCCTCTTAGGTATTTTGTTGACACACACAGTCATGAACTACTACTACAATCAAGACACAAACATTTCCATTATCCTGAAAGTTTCTCATGGTGTCCTTTCATAATTTATCCCCCTTCCTTTCCATTCAGATTCGCTTTCTGTCATTATAGTTTTGTCCATGGGAATGGAATAAGAGTATGCAGCTTTTTGTTGTTTTGGGTTTCTTTGTTTTTGCAGTAGTGGAGATGAGTGCTGGTGGCTTATGCCTATAATCCTAGCTATTCAGGAGGTTGAGATATGAGGATCTGGGTTTGAAGCTAGGTTAGGCCAAAAGTTTGTGAGACATCTCCAAGTTAAACAGCAAAAAGCTGCAAGTTGCTCAAGTTATAGAGCCCTAGTCTTGAGTGAAAAAGCCAAGTGTTAACAGAGGCTCTGAGTTCAAGCTCCTGTACAGCACACAGAAACAAAAATGAGGACATGGATATTCATGAGAAGTCATTGCTAAACAAAATAATCCTAGCATAACTCAGCATAAATGAACAAAATAGTAAATTTTACTATACTATATATATATATATATATATATATATATATATATATGGTACTGTATATACTTCAACCCCCCCCCCCTCATCTTCCCTAAGAATACCTGTTGGTTCTTTCACTTAGTGAACTGCATTTCCAATTTATCCATGGTGTTAAATGTATCAGTAATTCCTTTTTAAGACTAATATCCTACAGTACTAGTCTAATAGATCATAACCCAGCTGCTTCTTTGAGACTGACTAGAATATTCAATTCTTAGTTTGTCCAAACAAATGCAAAATGACTCACCATCAGATTTGAATTGTGACTTAAGGCGATACAATTCTTGAGTTTTCTGTTCTAGATTTAGCTGTAGAAGTTTCTGGTACTCTCTCTCTTTTTGAAGCAGGTGTTCCAAAAGTCTTTAAAGAAAAAAATAAAGCAGTTAGAGAGAACCCAACACTATCCAGTTATTGGACATTAGAGATTGATTTTTTAAAGTCATAATCCTAACAGTCAGCCCATAGAAGCAGATATGTTATTTCAGCCTGTATAGACAAACCTCCCTTATGTTTTTTTCCTCTTAACAAAGACCAGTGCTCATCTTTTTGCAATAGATTGAATGTATGTGTCCCCTGAAATTACATGTAATAGAAAGTTCAGGCTTCTGGGAAGTGACGCAAGTAATTAGTCCCCTTCAAGAAGTGACCTCAGTGACCTTAGCCAGACACTGGTGGCTCATTCTTGTAATCTTAGCTACTCAGAAGGCTGAGATCTGAGTGAGAATCGCAATTGGAAGCCAACCTGGGCAGGAAAGTGTGAGACTGTATCTCTGATTGACCACTAGAAGACCAGAAGTGGCACTGTGGCTCAAAGTGGTAGAGCTCTAGCTTTAAGTGTAAAAGTTCAGAAACAGCACCCAGTCCCTGAGTTCAAGCCCCATGTCCAACACCCACTCCCACAGAAAAAAAAAAAAAAGTAACCTCAGGAATCTCCCTTCCTTCCCAAGGGAGCTAAACCAAGGAGACTGCTTCGGAGCTAGGAGCTGGGGGCAGAGGAGCAAAGCGGCTGAGCACTTGCTGCAGAGCCAGGCCTGTGCTCTTTGCCGTCTGCGGGTTGTGTCATTTCAGACTCATCACCCTTGTCAGAGAAAATGCCATGTCTTCCAAGCTTGGCCTTAAAGCTGACGTGACAGGACCGGAATAATGAATTCACCTAGAGTGACCCAGGCTGACCTGGAGTGAACCATCAGGACAGTCTCCTGACTTCCAGTTTACTCCTGGTGATACTGGGAAAGAAAAGTAGGTCTTGGCACAGCTGAGCTCAAATTGCGCCCCTCCCCCCATGCCAGCGCAGGTAGCAGAGCTATGGGGCAGGGTTGGCAAGATCAACTTTTTTTTTTCTTTTTTCATGTACCTAATATTTTTTTTAAAAAAACAATTTATTCTAACTCCAGGCACTTTTAATCCATTTATATTATCTGTGCTGGTGAACTAGGAAATAATAGCACTCAACTTTAAATTATTGAAGTTAATTATTGACCTTGCCCTGAAAAATCACTACAATAATATGTAAACAGCCGAGAACATGGGTTCTCCTGGAGTTATTCTGTGGCCAAAATGGCTGCCCTGGACTTTGCATCTAAAGAGACTGCCTATTCTGTGCAAATGGTTCTGGTCTGTCCCTCACTACAGACCAGTTATTCCCTCGCACCATTTTGTTCAATAAGAGCCATCCTTCAGCTCTGTCCCTAACCATACAGCCAAGGCCCCCCAACAAGGACACGCAGGCTCCATGTTTATTAGCCATTTGCATTAATATGCTGACTGATGTTTAACCAACTACTGAGGCTAGAAAATAAACGAACAGTGGAGAGGAATGACCTTTGAATCCATACATAACATCGCATGAATTGGGTAATTACAAACGTTACTGGGAAGAAGTTTTGAAACAATGCCAAGTTTTACCACCCACTTTCATAGCTGTCGTCTTTTAAAACTTTGGAATTTTTGCTGCCACTACCTCTTAATTACAATTCTACATCCTTAAAAAAGAAATGATTAGATCTGCCTATGATTAAACTTAAGAGATCCAACGGGGTATATGTAGCCTTTCATCCAGATGTTCAGCCAAAGGTTCATCCAGAATCTCTGCTAAATAAAAACCAGCATGACCAGTGATATTAAAGCAACACCATTATTTGGAATAAGCACCAACTAGTTTGCCATAATTGTGGACTACATATTTTTTAAGCTCATTGGTGATGTGATTCTCCAGTCCAAATACTTAAATGATTTCCTACTACATACCAAGAAGTGAATGAAACAGGCCAGTGCACTTGCAACATTATGTTGGTGCCAGGGTCCCCTGCTTAGGCAAGCAATCCATTAATACCCAGCTAAGGGATCATGGCAAACAGGAAGCCATGCTGAACAGGCAAACTTCCTTAAAGTTAGGATTCTGGGCTCTACTGCCATACGCTAAGTGCTATTTGATCCTCAGACCACTACTTCTGCAGAGGCCCCATCTTCATGAAGGTAGAACTGCGAAGTGTGTGCTGGTACCGGGGCTTGAACTCAGGGCCTCACATTTTCCCTTAGCTCTTTTGCTTATGGATAATGCTCTACCACTTGGCTCACAACTCCACTTCTGCTTTTGCCTTTAGAATGGCAGATTTCTGTCTGGCCTGTGGCAAGGCACTCAAACCTCTGACTCCTCATATTAAAAGAAAGCATTCCTGGTGGCTCCAGCCTGTAATCCTAACTACTCAGGAGGCTAAGATCTGAGGATTAGTGAAGCCAGCCTGGGCAGGAAAGCCCCATGAAACTCATCTGTAATTGGCTTTCAAAAGTTTGGAAGTGAAGCTGTGGCTCAAGTGCTAGAGCACTTGCCTTGAGCAAAAAAGTTCAGAGAGAGTGCCCACGTCCTGAGTTCAAGCCCCAGGACCAGCACCAAAAAAAGAAAAAAGTTCATTATAATTTTAAACCTACACATAATATCTTTTGGATGTTGAGATAAATTGATCTGCCAAACTAACCATACTCATTCTTTCTTTCATGCATTTGTTCAGCAAGTATGAGGGCATAGCACAGGATTGATGTTAGGAAAAGTTAATGAGCATGGAGATTACCATTTAGCAGGAGCAAAGAGTAATATATCCAAGTGGCTCTAATGGTAATAATGGGTTGAAAGGTATAAGAAAGTAACAAGTGTTGTAAAAGTTCAAAGATGAAAGAGATTTTGAGTGGTCTAAAATGATCAGAAAAGTTAGGTAGATTATTGAATAAATGATTAAATACATAGTGAAAAAAGTTAATCACTTTGTATGGGGTGAAAGAATGAATTATTAAACTTGAGTTCCTTTTTCTATTTTTTTTTAGTAAGAATCATTTCCCTTTTCTCAGTTTGTATTTTGTAATATATAAATTGTTTTGAAAGTAAAAAAAAAAAAAAAAGATGAAGAAGGAAGAAAGAAGAAAGAAAGCATTTCATTAGTCCCCCAGTTAAAGCTGCCAATGCATCAATGTACACTTCAGTTCATTTGTGGTGAGGATCCTTTTTTTGGTTGATTTGGTTTTTTCCCCCTGAGGCCTAAGTGAGGCTCTTAACCAGCTGTCTTCTGGTTCAGATCATCCCCCTGCTCTTCTCAGTGAAGGGCACAGAAGGTCCTCACCTGTGACTCTCCTGCCTGAGACTATTCAGCTGGAGGCGCAGGTGCTGGAGGTGGGATTGGGTCACCTGGACCATCATTGAACAAGGTCTGCTTCCTCTGGATGCCACTTGCTCGGCTCCGCTGGGCATGTGCTCTGGCGGATAGTCTCCTTCCACTTCCTCCGGGTCCTTCTCTATTTCAGTCTCAGAGGCAGACTCAAAGTGGGTTTGGAGCTCTGTGAAATCACAGACCACAGATACCAAAATAACATTTCAACAGAGGCCCAGGCCTAGTGTAGCCAGGCTGGCAGACTAGGCAGCACAGAGGCTGGCCTGACTGCTGCCACACTTCATTCAGGGGATTACTGACTTTATGAAAGGACGGCATGATTTCACCTGGTTCTGTGGCTTAGAAAGATCATCTCTCCCCCACCTCTCTCTGTGTGTCTCAGAGTGTCTGTGTCTCTATCTCTCTCCAGTGTAAAGGGAGGAAGGGTCAATGTCCACAGATGGTTCTAAAGTTTCCCTTCACGGGGAAGAGGACCCTCTCACTGCAAGAGAAGCTACTCTAACATTTCAAAAAGAAAATGGAAAAACCCAAGATTAAGGCTGGAGGTGGAGTTCAGAGGGACTGTTTGTTAAGCAAGCACCAGACCCTGGGTTGGATCTTTAGTTGTGTGTGTGTGTGTGTGTGTGTGTATGTGATATATGTGTGTGGGTGTGTGTTTGGGTTTTTGGTCAGTCATGGGGCTTGAACTCCGGGCCTGGGCACTGTCCCTCAGCTCTTCAGCCCAAGGCTAGCACTCTACCACCTAAGCCACAGCACCATTTCCAGTTTTCTGGTGGTTAATTGGAGATAAAGAGTCTCATGGACTTTCCTGCCTGGGCTGGCTTTTAATGGTGATCCTCAGCTCTCAGCCTCCTGAGTAGCTAGGATTATAGGTATGAGCCACCAGTACCCGGCTTCTTTAGTTATTTTTTCGAAGGGCCTCACATGTTTGGTGAGCGTAGCCTCAAACCACAATCTTCCCAATCTCTGACTCCCTAGTTCCTGGGTTTACAGGTGTGAGCTACAGAGCTGGGTCCTAAAAGGCCTAGGCTTGAGAGAAAGCAGACATTTAATTATCAACTTTTGTCAAGATTTGGTGAGTGTGCACAGTGATGTGGGTCCCTGGGGACTGGGCAGATCTGATACCTTCACTATTATACCTGGGGCATCATGAATTTTTCTTACTATAGACAGACCCAGAAGAGATTTATGATGGTATCCACTTGACTGCAGGGAAGTATAAAGACAAGACAGAAAAGAAGAAGCAACATTGTTTGGGTGTGAATGTGCCAGTGTGGGAGCTTGAATTGAGGGCCTCGCACTCTGACTCGGCTTTCTCACTCAAGTCTGGCACTCCACCACTTGAATCACACCTCCACTTCTGGCTTTTCTTTCCTGACTAGGCTGGCTCTGAACTACAACCCCCAGATCTCAGCCTCCTGAGCAGCTTGAATTACAAGCGTGAGCTGCCAGTACCTGGCTACACTTCCATCTTGTTGCTGCTTAATTGGCAATAAGAATCCTAATGGACTTTTCTTCCTAGGCTGGCTTCAAACAGAATCATTTTTCAGCCTCCTGAGTAGCAAGTAGTTACGATTACAGGCACGAGCCACCAGTGCCCAGCTGAGAAAGCAACAATTATTGAATTATTGAATGCAGAAGATGTTTCTGGTCTTTGCCAGAAACATCTGGTCTTTGCAGGCACGTACCTGGGATGAGAATGGTGACGGCCGCCTGGACTGCTCTGCGGATGATATTGTCCATTGCAAACATCCAGTGGGGCCTAATCAAGTGGTTCCTCAAAATTTTATTCACCTAAAAATCACAAAAACTCAGATGATTCTATTGTTATACTTTTAAGAAACATGAGTTCTTAATACTAACTTGTTTAAAATCAATCTCTCTGAGATTCAGTTTTAGCCATGCTGCCCTGGATTTCTGCCTCATGTATTTCTTCTAAATGAGACACACACTAGGCTGACCCTAAGCCATGCTGGGATCTAATGGATGGGCACAACAATGAAATCAACCTCATTGGGCCTCGTAAGGGTTTTTTTTTTCTCTTTTTTGGCTCGAGTCTGGAATCTACCACTTGAGCCACAGCCACAGGGACCCTTAATTGAGAATTGAGCATCTATTACATGACAGACATGAGGGCTTAGGACTTAAAGATGAACCAGCCATGCCGGGAGGAACTCACATCCGGGCAGACAACTGGCCCATTCACCAAGAAGAGGTCCCTGTACCTACATACTCAGTGTTTAGAAAGAGTTGCTGAAATTCAGAGTTCAGGGGTAAACATGAGAAGAAACGGGTGTGCCAGATATATGGTGGGTGAATTCTAGCATGTACTTTAAGGCCTGATTGAGCACTTACAGCATCCTGGAATCCAAACAGGACCAAGTGAATCTGACTGATGGACGAGCTGTCAAAATCCAAGTCCACCTTTAGCTTTGATATTGTGGATGCCATCACCCTGGGCTCCGGGGAGCGGATAAAGTCCCTCAGGATCCCAATTATTTGCTTGATGTGGCCAATTGAGAGATACAACTCTTCCGCACTCTGACCGAAAACAGACACAATAAACATGAGTCATTTGCATTGAGTGAATGGGGGGGGTGATAGAAAATTTAAAATGCATTGTGGGAAACTGGGATGCCCATTTGCTAATGGAATTGTGGGATTCCTCCAGGGAGGAAAGGTCTCCGTTCCTGGAATTCCCTCTATGTTCTTCCTTATTGGGGATCTTCTGGTCTGTTGTTCCTAGTGGGCACACACCCTCAGCATTAAACTCCCCTTATGAATGGTTTGACCTCTCATTAGCCCTCATCAATGACATTGTCAGAAGCCATAAAAGGGCAGTGACCTCTCCTAAAATAATGTTCCCCATCCAGAATAAGAGGGACCAATTTGCCACTACTGTGTCCCAGTTAAAACTCAAAATGTTTTCCTTCATAACTATTTTCTTTGAATTGGGCTTTTTCCCAGCTTCTGAGAGCAATCTCAGCCTGATCTTAACCAGAGGTTAACTCACCCCTAGGACTCAAAATAGATAAGGGGAAGCCAGAGGTAGAAGGCCTTTTGGCTTCCTGGGCTTTTCTGCTGCTATTTGGCCTGTATTCCACCAGGGGACAGCACCACCCCACCCATGCCTGAAAACTCCTCTACAAATTCATGTGTCAATGGAGTTGTGTTTATTTTTTTTCCTTTGTATTTTCTTTTGTTGGGGAAGGAAGGATGTGGGGAAATACTAGTGGTGAATATTGCAACTGTGCAAATGTTTCAGGGTGGGTACATGGAACCTTGTGGTCCCTGAAGACCTAATGGGAACCTGGATATGGGTAGAGGGGTGGCAGGTGGTAGAAGCATTAGCACTTTCTCTCAGGCCAGTACCTGGGCCACACACTCCTGCAAGTTGAAAGCCACCTGGTCCTGCTCCTGCAAGAGGATTTTGTAAAGGATGGACCTGCGCTCACTGTCCTTACGCAGCAGGAAGAGACCTGGGTCCCTGTCTTCAGGGCACGAAGCTGAATTCCGCTCTTCCAAGGCTGAGTTCTCATCTGGAACGCTGTGGACAACATAGGTGACAACCCCTTCATGCATGTCTGTCCCATGTTATGCTGTGGGGGAGGGGCAGGGAGGAATACACAGCAGTCCCCAGGCTCTAGAGGAGGATACTGCCAGAAGGGGCTGCTGTACCAAAAAACCATATTTGAGGAGGGCAAGAGAAGGGAGGAGGAGGAGGGAGACCTGAGGGAAAGAGAGGTTAAAAAAGGGCGGGAGGGGGGGAGGAAGGAGAATAAGCAGGGAGGGGCAGGAGAGGAGGGGAGGGGAAGGGAGAAAGAAGAGGGAGATGTGGGAGCAGAGAGGGCCAGAAAGGAGAATGGACAGCTAGGAACAAACTCCTTGCTTGCCCCTGGCCAACGGCAGCCTTGCAGAAAGCAAGCTGAGGCCTTTTGTAGTCATCAGGATGGTGTCACTAAGGAACGCTGTCCCTCCCCTCGTAGGCCCACTGCAGAAGGACTCAAGGGACATGATACCTGAGAAGGTGGCTGAGCTGGGGTCTGGACACTTGGACCTTCTCAAAGAATATATCGGGCTGAGCATCAGAGTCAGGGGAGATGGAGCCATGTTCGCTGCTGCTGCTGCCCACCGGCTCCCCTGGCGAGGGCAAGGCTAGGACACTGGTGGTGCCCCTGACATCCTCTGCGGGAAGAGAGCCAGACAGGAAGTGGGGAGGCTCAGAGAGGAACGGAACACCCACTTCAGGGCTTGCTAAGCCTGTGCTGCTCTACAAGAAGGCATAGACCCCAAGTGGAATCCTGGTGAAAATGTTGACCTGGAAAGGGCTCCGTGAGCCATATCAATATAAGGAGTCTAGGGCTGAGCTCCAAGGAGCAAGCTGCAGAGCCAGGCCATGTGGTTTCTGACCTCACGCACACTAGGTAAGAAGAGGACAAATGGCTTCCTTTTCAGAGGCTACTCATGGCATTGTCCACCCGGATGTCACAGCTCCACAAGATGTCACTGGGACTCGGTTGGTTCACAAGACAATCACCACAGGAAACCCTCCCCAACACGGCCCTTTAATCAAGGTCAAGGTCAGCCCAGGATGGCAGGCCAAGCCCCCAACACAAAGCCCCAGGCTCTGCAGGTGGGAAAGATACAACTCCAGGCAGAAGACTTCTTGCCACCACTCGTCTCACAGTCCTCAAGGTCTTTATCACGGTGGCAGGGGTCATAGTCACCTGTCAGGCTCTCTGGGCCACTGTCAGACGGTGGGGGGACATTTATTCGTCTCTACAAACCTGCAACGCCACCCCTGCTACTCTTCACAAATGGGCCTGACCCTGGATGTTCAGCAATCTGGGGAGCGAGGCCTCCTTCTGAACAGAGAAGCTCCAGGGTGTCCCCCACCCTCCAAAATCAAATAGGTAGGTCTCACCTGATGGCTTGAAAGCAATTCGACTCTTCTTGCCTTTGTTCACCTGCCTTAAGAAATTCTGTCTGAGGAGGTCATCGGCGGTGACCCGTTTGTGAGGATCCGGCTCAAAACAGCATAAGATGAAGGCTTTGGCCTCGGCTGACAGGGCTTCTGGAATCTCAGGGTGAATCTTAAACATCCCCACCTACATTGGATGGAGAGGTGATGTATCAGTGGGCTTCACGTGAAGTCGGGTGCACACATCCATAACAGAAAGCTCCCATACTTATCATCCCATGAGGAGCTGGAGCACAGCAGCCCCGATGATGCCCTCTATACATCCCCCTGCAAGGTGCTACCCGCGCGCCTCACATCCCTTGGCCGAGTCTAATTCCTCATCCAAATGCCTTGTCTGTGACTTGGCTTTGATCAAGAGATTGTGGCAGTATTGTACTCATTTCCCCTGTTCATTCTTCTACCCCTCTCCTATTGAAATCCGTCCCCCCTTTGCAAGTACCTATTTCCTAGTATTCATTTTGTTAGGCTGTGGCTTAGTCTTTCTAAAAAAAAAATTATACTATTTGTGTTCTCCATAGATTCTATTATACTTTAGTTAATTCATTTATAACCACTTAGGTGCCACCCAGTGTGTTTACTTCTAGATTTATTGGCACCAGCAAGAATGCATTGTATATGCCACGGAACTGAGAAAAATAAGGGAAGGGGTGAGTGGGAAGGGGAGTGAAGATGTTAAAAGGATGACACAGATCAAGATGCACTGTATACATAAATTGCTTGGTTAAATGGAAACAAATCCTGAAAAGTAAGAAAAGTGGGGGAAGGAGTAGGTGTGGAGGGAGGGCGAGAATGTTGAAAGCGATGACATCGATCAAGAGGCACTGTATTCATAAACTGCTCAGCTGAATGGCAATTGCTTTGTACAACTATCTAAAGAAAATAAAAATACATTTAAAAAGAGAGATTGTAGCAGGAGCTATATTGTGAGGCTCTCAAGAGCCTAAGCTTTAAGAGGCCTTTCCAGCCACTGCTGAGATCTGCTTGGAGCCCTGAGATCACCACACAGTTCAAGGAAACTGGGACAGATGACTGTGGAGAGAGCAGCCCCTCCCCTGCTGCCCGCTGCAGTCATGAGGAGAGGTCTGTGTCAGACAATCCTGCCCCAGCCAAGCCACCATCTGGATGCACCCAGATGAGTGAGCCCAGGCAAGACTGCCAAAGGCCTACTCAGAACTGAGGACTGATAGTCATTGTTTTACACCTTTAGGACATTACAGTGCTTTGTCATGTGCAGAGAGAAATGAGAGGGATTTAGGCTTGGGATAGGAGAGACTTGCACTGAAGACCTACTGTCTATTTCCTGACACAAAGTCCCCAAGAGACCCCCACATATTCCTCCTGATCAACTATGCATCCACAGCCCAGCCCGCCTGCCTTTCTCTCTAAGCCACGCACCAGCGATCAGACAAATGTGATCCATCACTCACAGCAACCTCTGGGCTCCTCTCAACAAGGAACAGTGGCCCATCACCTTCCCATTAGGACTTGCTAGAACGGCTGCTTCAATTCCCTCCTCTGGCCAGTTAATTACTGTCCTGCTCTCTCCATCCTTGTGACCCACTGGGGAGCAAGAGTGGGTTCCCAGATGTCATGTCTCATGGTGACATGGGAATGCTTCCATGACAAAATCTGCATAATCCCTTCCTGTGCAATTGTTCCCACCAGAGGTGACTCACCAATCTTTTTTCATCTTAAAGCTCATGGCCCTTCCTGTGCCCTTTCCAAGACCACTAGATAATCCAGGGGTGGAAGCTATTCTGTCTTCTAGACCCCTGCTCATTGCCAGTTCCCATAGCAGGGGCTAGCTTGGCTTCCCTTTCCCCACTACATGAGATCTGGGGGCTGCAGAGATTTCTAACTCCTATTTCCCAAATGTCCACTGGCTGGGCATGTCCCATTCCCAGGACACTGTCCACAGTAGAATGCATAGCTTGAGAATTATGTGTTCTGACAACACCAAATGCTGGATGGAATCCAGTCACCAAGATTTGAAATTCAGCCCCCCCCCAACTGAGTGGAGGGGTAAGATGTTAACAGTACCCAGCAGTATTAGGGTACACAGAGACAAAAGTAGAAAGAGGTGGCTTCCTCTCTGGCTCTCAGAAATAATACAGCAGATGTGGTCAGCACTCTGCAAGTGTATCACTTCTTTTTTTATTTCCTTCAGTACTGGAGGATGCACTCAGGGCCTCGTGATTGCTTGGCTTACTTGTTCAGCTGGTGGTCCATTACTTGAGCCATGCCACCAGCCTTCCTTTCTGCTAGTTATTTTGGAAATAGTCTAAGCAAACTTCTGCCTGGGTTGGCCTTGAATCATGATCCTCCAGAGCTCAGTATCTGTGATTGTAGGCACAAGCCATTGACACCTGGCAAGTATACAACTTTGAAAGGTGCTTTGCTGTTACTCCAAAGCTCAACTGCAAAGCTCCTTTATCAATCAACTAGTCCTGTTGTAACAAAGTACCATAGAAATGAACAACAGGAATGGATTTTCTCACAGTTCTAGAGGCTGCAAATCAGAGGTCAAAGCGTTGCTGAGGCCAGATTCTGTCTGACATGTGTAGCGAATCCTTCCACACCCCTTCTATGCTTCTGCTTGTTGTAAGGCCATTTCTGGTGTTCCTTGGCTCTCACTCCAACCCCCAACTTTCATTTTGCATTGTTCCTGGATGCATTCATGTAGTCATCTCCCTGTGTCTATCTGTCTCTTTTTCCAAGTTTAAGTGACTTTTGAGACAAAAGTCTAAGTTCACCCTAAACTTTCTATCTTCCTGCTTCAGCCTTCTAAACAGCTGAGATCTCTGTCTCTTGCCATGCAACATTAGGGCCCATTCCACTGGCCTAATTTTAATTCCATTATCCCTGTAAATACCATATTTCCACATGATGCCTTACTAGGGGTTCAGGGTTCCACATATCATTTTGAGTGGCACAAACCCATAAAAGTCCCCTTTAGGTAAAAACAAATTTCAGGCACTGCCCAAGAGAGTACTAAATTTTTCTGAAGGATTCTAGGATCCCAGAAATAGCACAGAGGTCATTTTTAATATTAACTCTTGTTAATATTAGAAAAAAACTGAAAATCATATGCCATCCCCAGAAACATTTATGCATTGTCAGAGAATTCACACGGCTACCTTGCTAAGGCAAAATAGGAGACAGAAGAGGAGCATTAGAGTCAGCCATGCCCTGTGGCTGAATTAAAGTCACAGCCTTATTTATCTGGGTTTTCAGAGTTTCACAGGAAACCAAGAAATCACAGAGAAGACAGCCATAACTCCCAGGTGGGTGCTATGTTTTTGCCAGTACCAGCTGCTATTTACTCTAAGGCCTGGGATGAAAACTACACGCATGATCTTCAATGGTCCCAACTGGATCGATCATGGGTAGTCATTGATGGGCTGAGGGAGTCTGTTGCTGACCTCTAGCCCTTGTATTTGGATTCTGTTAGGATTTTAGAGATCAGAAGACTTTGCTTTACTTGAGATCTTGGCCTTGGGTTACCTGGGCAGTTGACTTGAGGGTAGAGCCCACTGAATATACTACACTCACCTTGTCAGCAAAATCCTGCATTTATCTTTGGGGCTCTTTGTGCCCCAACATCAAAACCACCTAAATGACCAAATACATCTTACTTTGAACATTGCAGCATGTGGATCACCAAGCTCATAGAATGGGGGCCTACTGGTGGCCATTTCAATGATGGTGCAGCCTAGAGACCAGATATCAGCTGGGGCACCATAACCCCGAGGTCCTTGATCGATAATCTCTGGTGCCATGTACTGCAGAGTACCTATATGGAAAACAAATGAACAAAGATTAGTGATGCTATTACTACTTAAAATCTAAGTAGGCCATTAAGTACTTGAGTGTGTGGACTTAACTGTCTCATTAATGTTGGGCAAAACCTTGTCTTATGCATGAATAATGTGGTCGCATCACTTTCCTTTGTGTGTGCCAGGCTTGAACCCAGAGCCTGGGCACTGTCTCTGAGCTTTTGTGCATAAGGCTGGCATGCTACCAGTTGAGCCACAGCTCCATTTCTGGCTATTTTTTTGGGGGGGGGGGGAGTTCATCAGGAATAAGAGGCTCTCAGAATTGTCTGCCCAGGCTGGCTTTGAACCATGATCCTGAGATCTCAGCCTCCTGAGTAGCTAAGATTACAGGCACAAAACACTGGCGCACAGTTTTGTATCAATGCTTGACCAAAGACAAGCACATTAAGAGAGGGTTCTTTGATCCTTCAAAGGATGAATGAACCCATTTCAATTCAATAAGCATGTTTTAGTATGTGCTAAATATAGGACAACTGGAATATGGCCCTGGTCACAAGGATTTAGTGGAGGTCACAGAAACGATGGTGGCCAACAATGATGGTTAGGTTTGCTAAGAGCTATGACAGGAACACACAGAGGGCTGAAAGGACAGATGGAAAAGTACTCGATTCTTCCTGGTCTGAGCCAGGAAAAAAATGTATGGCTATGTCAATTTTGGTCTCTGAGAGGGTACACACTAAGACAAGACTGGATGTACAAGGGATATACTTGGAAGAAGACTCTATGAAAGATAAAGGAGAAGGGGGCGTGGAGAATGTTAGGGTGTGACGTAGATGTAACCTCTGGGAAAGGGGAGGGAAATAACTGGGTACGAAGCAGCTCAAATGGCACTGTTCTGAGAATCCCTGGCCAAAATTTGCCTCCTGGAGGAAATGGTTTCACACTGGTTCTAGTACTCTTGTAGGTACATGGGTTGGGAGCAACCTGGGGAAAGTAAGAGCTTGCCATGAATATGAGTCAAAGGAGCAGTGGCTGGTACTGTCAGTGAAGTCGCTTTTTGCTGTGAAAGTTAAAGGTGTGGAAAAAGAGATGGAAGGACATCTAGGTGGAGGGAGGAGCCTGAGCAAAGCATACCAGTATGAAGCATAGACAGAGTCCAGTGAGTGATCATTTTTACCTGGGTCAGGGTACAGGAAGAATTAACTAGGGTGTCAAGGGTACAGCCCAAAGGGCATGCTGTGTGCTCTGAAGGCTCTGGCTTTGCACTTTGTCCTGTGGGTCACGAACCACCAGAGGCTGCCACCTGGAAGGTGGTAACCAGTATGGCATCAGGAGAGATTATTAAAGGGAAAGACTTGAAGGGGAGGGTGTAAGAGAGGGCAATCTCTGGATCTAGGAGCAAAATCTTTCATATTCCTCGAAATGAGGCATGAGAAATGGAGAAAAGGAGAAAAATGAAGATGATGGACGCAGATGTTTTGGGCTGGGAAAGTGGCTGAGAGTAAGACAGTAAACTCAAAGATGACCTTAGCCAAAGCATGAATCCAACACTGCTATCCAGGGAAATCAAAGGGTCTGTTTCAATAGCATACAACGAAAGCTTTCCTGAGTTCTTTTTTTGGGTCTTGTTGTTGTTGTTTTGAACTCAGGGCTTTGTGCTCTTTCTCCCTTAGCCTTTCCACTCAAGGCTAGTGCTCTATCACTTGAGTCACAGCTGCACTTCCAGCTTTTTGCTGGTTAATTAGAAATAAGAGTTTTATGGATTTGTCTGCCAGGCTGGCTTCAAACCTTGATCTTCAGATCTCAGCCTCCTGAGTAGCTAGGATTACAGGCGTGAACCACCCAAGCCCAGCTTGGTTTCCTGAGTTTTCACCAAAGAAAACAAAAAGTTCTTCAGGTTTTTTTTCATTGAAGATAATTTCCTTTGTCTTATCTTTAGGTAGTTGTACAAAGTACTTGTGATTTAAGAAAGCAGGTTATGAATACAATATATTTTGATCAATGTCACTCCTTTCAACATTCTCACCCAATCCTCCCCTACCCACCCCTTCTCTCACTCTTCTTAAGTTTGTAGGATATACACTAGATTCATGGCTGCATATTCCCCCTCTTCTCCTCTTCATTCCTTCTCTCAAAGAGCATTTTGCATTTCTATGATCATTTTAAAGACCTCAGGACAGCTGTGACCAATAGAATGCTCTGTTGTAATGGAAATGTGGAGTCCAATATAGTCCAAAAGAGTCCACTAAATCAACCACAGAGCTATTGAAGTGTGGCTACTGAAATCAAAGAAGGGAAATTTAAATTATTTTAATGTGTAATTGTATTTAATGCCAACCGATTCAAGGTTAAACATTAATTGGCTTGTATTAGTAAACACAACAGATCAGTGGGACACAAATGATGGCTTTGGTTTCAGAGCTGAAAGCCTGATGGGGAAGTGTTTCAGTTGGTCACAAAATTGGGCAAGGTAGATGTGCATGCACTTGCAATTGATGCAGTGTGAGGAAATCCCAGAGCCCCAGGAAGGGAACTTCTGGTGACACAATATCTCCTACAGGTTGTTGCTGCTGTGAATAACAGAGGGAGTGGCATTGGCAAGGGAATGTGCTTTCATAATTAATTGAGTTCCATAATTATTTCCATAATTAATTAATTAATTGAGCTGTTTATTTAAGCTATCATCTCCCAGCACTATTCTGTGATGCTGGGTTTGGAACTTCTGCTTCACCTGCAACTGTTTGGCTCTCTAACTAGGGGGCACTAGAGAGATCCTTGAGGACAGGGAGGAACTTGCTGTTCCTATGCGCCAGTTATTCTCAGGACCCTCATCTGGCTCCAATCTTAAGGGGTGATTTCGTGTGTGTGTGTGTGTGTGTGTGTGTGTGTGTGTGTGTGTGTGTGTGTGTGTGTGTGTGTGTGTGTGTGTGTGTGTGTGTGTGTGTGTGTGTGTGTGTGTGTGTGTGTGTGTGTGTGTGTGTGTGTGTGTGTGTGTGTGTGTGTGTGTGTGTGTGTGTGTGTGTGTGTGTGTGTGTGTGTGTGTGTGTGTGTGTGAGAGAGAGAGAGAGAGAGAGAGAGAGAGAGTGTCTTGGGATTGAACTCAGGACCTGGGCGCTGTCCCTGAGCTTTTCTGTTCAAGGCTACCACTCTACCACTTGAGCCACAGCTCCACTTGTTGCTTAATTGGAGATAAGAGTGTCACAGAGGGGCTGGGAAGGTGGCTCAGTGGTAGAGCACTTGCCTTGCATGCATGAGGCCCTGGGTTCGATTCCCCAGCACCACATAAGCAAAAAGAAAAAAAGCCGGAAGTGGCACTGTGGCTCAAGTGGTAGAGCGCTAGCCTTGAGCTGAAGAGCTGAGGACAGCGCCCAGGCCCAGAGTTCAGGCCCCACGACCAGACCCAAAAAAATAAAAATAAAAAAAAAGAGTGTCACAGACTTTCCTGCCTGAGCTGACTTTGAACTGTGATCCTCAGATCTCAGCCTCTTGAATAGCTAAGACTGTACACTCCCAGAGCCAGTTTCACCTTTCCTTTCAGAGAGATTCTTGCTCTAGTTTGGTGATAACACCTCCTCAACATTCTAATTCTGCTTCCTGATACCTCAATATCTCCTTTCTGTATTTTCAGGTTCAGTATTCAGAAAAAGTGTTCTTTCTGCCAAACTCTGTAAAAATAATGAGGGGGGGGGGGGGACAGTGATTTTCTGCTTTCCTGCCTAGACTCAAATCAATATGATTACAAAAAGTTCTTAAAAGAACAAAAGAATAGGAAGTGGCGCTGTGGCTCAAGTGGTAGAGCGCTCACCTTGAGTTGAAGAGCTCATGGACAGCACTCAGGCCCAGCGTTCAAGCCCCATGACCAACAAAAAAAAAAAGAAAGAAAGAAAGAAAAGAAAAGAAAAAAGAACAAAAGAATAAATTTGCATCATCCAGCAGTAGAAAATAAAACTAGGCCAAACAGCAATGGCTAATAGATCTTGATCATTTGTCTCATAGTTGGTGCCTATTTAGTCTTCTTAATGATAAATTTGGAGGTTTTCTTTCTGTGGGGTCATAGCAAGTATTGCTTTAAAAACAAGGACATAGAGATGACACCCATGTTAGTTACAACTGTATAACAAATTGTTATCAAATTTATCAGCTTAAAAGGAAGTAGAGGGCTTGGCTAGCATGTGCTGGATAAAAAAGTTATTATAATCTCACACAGTGTCTAAGAGTGAGAATCCATAAGTAGCCAGTTTTCCTGCAAGGTCCAGGGCTGCCTCACCTGAAAGCTAGACTGGGGCTCTTTCATGAGCTTCCAAGCTCACTTATTTGGGTTGGGATCAGCAGTAGGCTTTAGTTTCTTGTCACATGGAAACTTCCACAGCGATGTCCAAGACATAGCTTCCCTTAGCTAAAATGATCTGGGAGAGAAAAAGGGATGCTCTCTGCTTTGCTTTTTATGACCAAGTTTCTAGGCAACATACCATCACTTCCACTTATTACAGTCACTAGAAAGTCACCAAGTCTAGTCCACATTCAAAGGTGGGGATTATACAATGGAAAAATTACCAGCAGGTAGGGACTATCCTGGAGACTGACCCCCCCAACCCCTTACCTGACTTTTGGTTAGCACTTAATGGCTTATACAATATCTCCATGTATTGTCCATCTGACTTTCACAGCTGTATGATACTGAGTAGAGGAATCCACCGGAAACAGATTTTAAGAAACCAGAGGAATCACTGGACTACACACCATAACAGGACCCATCAATGTCATAGATCAAGAATGTGTTGAAGAAAAGTGTGCCTCAATAAGATTAGTTGAAATAGGAGTCTCCAGCAGGGTGCTGGTGGCTCATGCCTGTAATCTTAGCTACTCAGGAGGCTGAGATCTAAGGATCATGGTTCAAAGCCAGCCCAGGAAGGAAAATCCATGAGACCCTTATCTCCAATTAACCACCAGAAAACCGGAAGTGGTGCTGTGGCTCAAGTGGTAGAGCACTTGCCTTGAGCTGAAGAGCCGAGGGATAGTGCCCAGGCCCAGAGTTCAAGTCCCATGACTGACAAAAAGAAAGTTTCCAAAGCTTCTTCACATGTAATTGTAGGTAAAGAACAATGATGGAAGCCTAGGCATACCATTTAATTCACTATTGCATTCACAGGCTAACCATCCACTCAGTATACAGTCGAGAGAGAGAGAGAGAGAGAGAGAGAGAGAGAGAGAGAACACAACCCAAGTAATTCAAATAATCAAAGAACCATCCCAGGCAGCATGCATCTAGCAAGAGTTGTTAACAAGAAAGACCAGCTAGGTGCAGAGCACATAAAACCAGCTTACAAGAGTGCTAGTCAAATGCTGGGGGCTGGTGGCTCACCTCTAGCTATCAGGAGGCTAAGATCTGAGAATTATGGTTCAAAGCCAGCATGGGAAGGAAAATCTGTGAGACTCTTATCTCCAATAAACCACCTGAAAACCAGAAGTGGAGCTGAGTGGCTCAAAGTGGTAGAGGGATAGGCTTAAGCAAAAGAACTCAGGGGCAGTGCCCAGGCCCTGAGTTCAAGCCCCATGACCAGTAACAATGGAAAAAACAACCAACAAAGAATACTCGTCAAGAGACAACTTGTCAGACTCCTGTCCTCACCTTCCAGCAGTTGGTGAGTAGGAAAAGAGATGAGGGAAGGGAAACTAGACCTTCTCAGGGATCATGGCATACTAACCCCTTGAAATGCCATTATGACTCTCTTTGTCATTTAGGGGCAGCTGGGAGAGGCCTATTGTTCTGGGTAGGATGTACAGAGGCAGTAGGAGACAAATATATTGGCTGTTATGATGACATTTTTTGAGTCTCACAGATTCAACTAGTTAGTGGCACGTGGAAACCCAATTCTTTCAAAGATTCCCTCTGGCTTCAATAACCTGTGATATATAAGTGCCCATTCATATTTATTATATTTATATGATTAGCAAATGCTTCAATTTTAGGATCCAGGTAACAAAGCATTTTGTATTAACCTATTTAATCCTTAAAAACCCTATGCTGTAGGAACTATGAGTATTTCTACTTCACTTATGAAAAAAATAGAGACACATAGAGGATAACTTATATGGCAAGCAACTGGTTAAGTCAGGCTTTGAACCACTCCTTGAAGGATGTTTATAATCATAATTCAGACAAGAGTTCCTGTTCTAAGTTCTAATATCAGCGGTCTATATGAGATAGATGAAACATATGACCACACAAAGGTAAGCTTTTGTGTGTGTGCTGGTCCTGGGGCTTGAACTCAAAGCCAATGTGCTGTCCCTTAGATTTTTTTTTCACTCAAGGCTGGTGTTCTACCACTTGTGCCACAACTCTACTTCTAGCTTTTTGGTAGTTTATTAAAGCTAAGAGTTTCACAGACTTTCCTGCCTGGGCTGGCAGTGATCTTTTTGTTTGTTTGTTTGTTTTGGGTCCGGTCATGGGGCCTGAACTCTGGGCCTGGGCGCTGTCCCTCAGCTCTTCAGCTCAAGGCTAGCGCTCTACCACTTGACCCACAGCGCCACTTCCGGCTTTTTTTCTTTTTGCTTATGTGGTGCTGAGGAATCGAACCCAGGGCCTCATGCATGCAAGGCAAGCACTCTACCACTGAGCTACCTTCCCAGACCCGATGGCAGTGATCTTAAGATCTCAGCCTCCTAAGTAGTTACCATTACAAGGCTTAAACCACCAGTGCCTGGCTCATACAAAGATTCTTATGTGAATAATCACATGTATACTATCCATATTAGGTTACTCAGCTAAAGAGAAACAAGGCCTGATACATACCATAGTATGGATGAGCCTTGAAAACATCACAGTAAGGGTTCATTTCCCTAACATCAACTTATCTGACCTTTTCTGCTTGACTCAGACATATACTAGATATTGCAAATAAGGGAAACCATGAGATACGTATTCAAATGTTTTTTTCTTTCATGGGATTGTTTCTAACACATTTATAAGATTATTTCTTTGTTGCTTTATATGTCCCTCCCCCATGGTATAACCCCTGCTTTCACTGTATTTGATGTCGGTATAATTTGAGGAGGGGAAGGGGAAAAACAAATAATTGAAATAGGCATACAGGTGGACCCACTGCAACAATGAGATGTACAAGTCGCTATGTTGAAAACGAACTTTACAACTTTGGTGCAGGGGAGGGGGGAGGATTGGGGGACAGGGGGAGGATGGAAAGGGATAGGAAAGGGGAAACAAAGGAGGAGGCTACAATGCTTGATAACAAATGTACTCATTATCTTGCCCATGTAATTGTAACCCCTCTGTACAGTATTTTCACGATAAAAAGAAAAAAGAAAAAAAAAGAAAACATCACACTAAGGAAAAGAAACTAGATGCAAAAAATACCCAAACCACAAAAGAATCCCCAAACACCACCCATGCCATATTGTAGCATTCACGTGTGTGTAATACTCAAAGCACACACAAATCTACCCACTTAGAAAGTTGATTAATAGTTGACTGAGGCGGGGTGGGAATAGGAATTGACTGTAATGGTAGCATGGGGATTTTCGGGGGTGTCAGAAATGTTCAAAAACTGCGTTGTACCAATGGCTGCATGATACAGTGAATTCATTAGAAACTACTGAGTTGTAGGTTACTTTTATGACATGCAAGTTACACCTCAAGAAAGTTGTTAAAACTGCCACAAAAAGAACAAGAGGGCTGGAATGTGGCTCAGTGGGAGATCATCTGTTAGCATGCTTAAGGCCCTGGGTTTATCCCTAGCACAGCAAACAAACAAGTAAAAATTACACACACAAAAAAACCACCTTGTTCTAGTCAGTTTAGCATGCCTATGGCAAAAGTCCTTCATAGGCACACTGGAGAAGAAGGATCTAGGCCAAGCAGTTGCCTGAAGCACTTGGCTGTCCTTTCAAAATACACATGGTCTCAGAAAATGTATGGAGCAAAGTTCCATGAGATCCACCTGACCCAGAGTTCTGTACCAACCAGCTCAGACTTCTCTCCAGAACTGCTCTGTTTTGAAAAGAGTAATTATATGCAGGGGAATTTCTTAATCAAAATGAGACACCCCTTCTTTATTATCCCCCAAACACCCTTGCATTACTTTACAAGCCAATTACATTACTCTTCAAGCCAATTACTTGGGAAACATGATATGTGATAATGAATTATACATGTGTTTTCTTTGTGATTTTTTTTCCTCCTCTGGGATGCTAATTATGAGATAAATTGTTGGGGGTTTTATGTTTTTGAAATAACTCCTTGTCATCTCAAGGCCCCTTTTTCTATGTATTGCCAAGCTAATTGGTGGCTTCCAAAGAGGAGAATGGATATAAGTCATTTTCAATTAGGGCTGTAAAATGCTGAGAGAAAAAAGGACCAGTGCTCCATATAATTCCATATATACATATACAGATGTGTATATGTATTTGTCTACCAGAAATGATAAAATGAAGATCCAGCACACTCTTTCTGTGGGACAGTGTAATGAATTCCTGGGATCTTCCTATTTTGAGACACATGAACCTCCTTTTGTCCTATAACTAAAAAGGCAGTTTTGGTGAATTAAAATTCTCTTGTGATGGGGAGTGAGTACCCAATGGTTGACACACAAGAACTCTCTTGGTGAAGCAAAGTTCTTCAAACCTGAGACATTATTCACCAAAAAATAAGACTCAAACTGCAATCCTAGTTACTCAAGAGGCTGAGATATGAAGATCATGGTTTGAAGCCAGCCTGGGCAGGAAACTCCATGAGATTCTTATCTCCGATTAACTACCAGAAAACTGTAAGTGGAGCTATGAATTAAAGTGGTAGAGTGCTATCCTTGAGCAGAAAAGCTCAGGGACAAGCCCCACCACTGACAATCAATCAATCAATCAATAAGACCCAAGCTCTCTATACCCTTGGTCATTTTAAGGAATAGAGAAAAGCCTTTTCTATAGCTTATTACAGAGCTACTCGTTTATGAGCTATTACATAAGCTTATCAAGCAAGACCTTGGGAATCTTTATGTTTCTCCTTAAGAGACCATAAACTTTTGTCTATTAAAAAGTCAGTACTTCTTTCCAAGGATTAAAATTTTGGCTGCAGTTGCTTTTTATCTTTTCTTCCTTCCTTCCTTTCTTTTCTCTCTCTTTCTCTCCTTTATCTCCTTCCTTCCTTCCTTAACTCCCCAACTCCCTCCCCCTCTTCATTTATCTTTTTCGTTCTCCTTCCTTCTTTCCTTCCTTCCTTTTTTCCTTCCTTCCTTCTTTCCTTCCTTCCTTCCCTCTTTCCTTCCCCTCTCTCTCTCTTTCCTCTCTCTCTCCTTCTCTCTCTCTCTCTCCCTCTCCCCCCCTCTTTCTTTTTGGTGCTGGTCCTGGGGCTTTAACTCAGGACCTAGGCACTGTCCCTGAGCTTTTTTTTTACTCAAGTCTAGTGCTCTATCACTTGATCCACAACTCCATTGCCAGCTTTTTGGTGAATTTCCAATTTTGAAAAGATTTCTTGCACAGGTTGGCTTTAAACCACAATCCTCAGATCTCAGCTTCTGTGTAGCTAGGATGAGAGGCATGAACCACTGGCACCTGGCTGTATTTGCTTTTAAGTAACTTTTGAATGACTGCAGCTTAGGGCAGGAAGTTTAACCTTAACAGGGCTGTTGCACATCCTGCTTCTGCTCTGCTTACCCATAAAGGTCTCTGTGTATGTGTTCACTCCTGCAAGGCGTTTAGAGGTCCCAAAATCAGAGATCTTCACCACTCCACTATAGGTGTTTACCAGAACATTATCACCCTGAGGAGAAAGAACAGTATCCAGTACTTAAAAGACAGATTTAAGCAAACTAACCCCATGCAGTTTGGAACCTTGAAAACCTGTCTCAAGGAAGTTGGGGCTTAGCCATTGAGGATAAGATGTCTTGTTAACCATCTCCCTCTATGAACAAGGTGCTCAGCCCATATTGCATTGACAGCTCTTGTGACTAATGAGAAAAATGTCACCCGTGTAGCTTAGAAATACCAATACCTTTATGTCCCTGTGCACTATCTGGTTTTCATGGAGGTACTTCAGGCCTTCTAGGATCTGTTTGGTATAAAATTTGATAGTGGGCTCCTTCATGGGTCCCCATTTGGATCTTAAGAGAGCAGAAAGGCTTCCTGAAAAGGGACACAGTAAAAAAACAAACAAAGAAAACAGTTCACCAGTATGACAAAGATTCAATTCTAAGAGTTCAGCAAAGTTTAAAGCAAGGTAATTTCTTTGTTTGTGCCTATACTGGGGTTTGAACTCAGGGCCTTGGCACTGTCTCTTAGCCTTTTCACTCAAGGCTGATACTTTACCATTTGAGTCACAGCTCCACATCTGACTTTTTGGTGGTTAATTGGAGGTAAGAGTCACATGGACTTCCCTGTATATACTGGCTTTGAACCATGATCCCCAGACCCCAGCTGCCTGAGTAGCTAGAATACTGGCATAAGCCACTGGTGCCTGATAGGACAATTTTGATGTCCATTTTACTTCTATGAGTCATTTTCAGAATGTGAGAGTAGAAGAGAGCAAATATTCTACTTACCTCCAGGTACCTGTTCCATAAATATCTTAATGTAGCCATTCTCTGAAACAGAGCCCAGGTATTGGACAATATTGCGGTGCTTGAGGTACTTGTGCAGGGCTATTTCTTCATGTAGAGGCTGAGAGTACCTATTGTGGGAAAAAAATAAACCTGGAATCATCCGCTAAATCCTAGAGGCTCTAGAGCCTCAGAGTACCTTACCAGTACCCACCGTCCTATTGGCTATATTTTCCAGAAATTCTTTCTGTTTTGGTTTTCATGAACCTATTCAACTGCCCATCTAAAAACCAGGGGACAAGCTGCTCATCCCTAATTTGAAAATTCAACATGCTTCAAATTCCAAAAGTTTTTGAGTGCCAAACCTGACACCAAAAGTAGAAATTCCACACTTGACTTTGGATGATGGGTTTCAGTCAAAATGCAGGCACGTCAAAGTATTGTATAAAATTATTTTCAGTCTATGTATATAAAATGTATATGAAACAAAAGTGAATTTTTATTAAGACTTGACTCCCATCTCCAATACAATTAAATATATGCAAAACAATTCAAAATCTGGTACACTTGTAGTCCAAGGCATTACAGATAAGAAATATTTAACCTGTAATAATACAAGCCATGTAGAGATGCTGGGGTCCAAAGTACCTTGTGTTTCCAGGCACAGTAGAGAACCTGGTGTGTAGCTAAGGATTAGTGACTGACTTCTATTGCTACTATCTCTAGTGTTAGGGCCTGAACTCACTAACTGATTTTACTTCTCTTAGCAATGCCTCTTCTCCACCTTCCATGAAGTGGGGGTGTTCAAAAAATTTCTGTGCCCCATTGCCCTCTAGTTTTACCCCCTAGACTCAATCTAGAGCTAATGAAATGGCCACCCCCCCAGTATCTGGACCTGTTAATTCATGCTCCATCCCTAAGGATTATTTCCTTTTCAAAAATGACACATTTCACAATACCACTTCCATAAATTCTATACAAAAACCACACATGACACAAAAGATCCTTCTAAATCAGGCCAGATGGCATCCTAATATAACCATTTCTATTATTTAATTGGTATTATCTATGGTCGAAGGAAAGTTCTTAATTTATCCAACATTTTATATTATATTTTTATTATCTTTAAGTATTTGTACAAAAATATTACCAGCCAAAATGTCCATTTATGAGTGCAATGCATCTTACCAGTACCATCCCTTTTATCATTCTCTCCAATCCTGTCCAACCCTACTCTTCTTAATTTACCTAGTTTCATAGGCTATGCATTGAATATAATTCTCCCCCATCTTTATTTATTTTTGCCTCAAGAGCTGTCTACTACTCCATATCCTACATTCAAGCCATGAAAGGGATTTGTTCTTCTCTGAATGTATTTTGTTTTTAACAACTCTGTTCTTTCCTCAGGTAGGCCTCCTTATTTTCCCTGTCAAGTGTATTCCCGTTCAACACTCAAACCAGTTTAAAGATGGCTTATTTTCTCAGACTTGCTGCAACTCACCCAGGAAAATTCTGCACTCCAAAAACCCTTGATGTACCCTTCTATTATGGCACTTGTCACTTTGACTCATAGATACCCAGAACCTTCGTTCCCTGCCACACTGGTAGCATCTTAGAATCTTAACAATATCCTAGTCACCTTTCAGTCCCTAGCACCAGCCAAGAATCTTGGATGGAAGATGTCTAAACGTGGGGAAAATGATATCTAAAGTCCTTCTAGTCCTAAAATCCCAGGAACTGCTACAGGCAATTTTTTAATTGCTAGTGTTATCAAATGAAGGAGGCAGTACAGGTACAAGCCAGAAATTTTCCACATCTAGACAACTGCATCATCTTATCTATCACACGAATAGGAAGCAGATCATGAACTCAAGAGCCTGGCCTCTTAGTCTTGTTCTGCATTCCCCTGAGAGAATTCATTTAATCTTTTTTCAGTTTTGGTTCTCATATTGATAACATAAAGAAAATGGACTAGTTCATGTCTGGTCTTGTCTTATGATTACATAATCACAATATGCTTTTCCACTGCAGATGAATGAATGTATAAATGAATGGCCTTACAGTTGGTAGAAATCATCTGTAACCTATCCCTACCCCCTCAGTAATATCACTTAGAGACATGTGTGCATGTATCCATCAGTACCCAGTGCTGGAGGCAGCTCTATAGCTGTGGTTCCCATTCCTATAGTCCAGGGATGATTATTTTTCATGCTATGGCCATAACTGCATATGTAGTTTCTCTACAGAAAACATTCAACAGTAAACACTGATATACTGTTGTTTAGATTTAGATGGAATATAAGTTTTCCAAGAAGTGAACACTTAATAAAGTTTAAAAATGTTGAAGAAATAAATGAACAGTAATGATGGTTAGAAAAATAGCCCAAAATCCACAGGAAAGGTTGAAGAGCTGCATATTTTAAAAAAGAAAAAGTCTGTATTGGCAAACTATGACCTTTTTTTGTATTCACAATCTTTTATCTTGTTTTCTAAATTCTGAAGCTTTAACTAGATTTAATTTTTGTAATGACAATCCAAGTAAATTATAACCATTTCGGTTGTTATAATGTGACCAGGGTTAGGGTATGGCTCAGTAGGAGAGTACTTACCTAGCATGCTTGAAGCCCTATGTTTGATTCTCAGTACTAAAGAAAAGCAAAGGTGCTCATCACACTTTTAAATATTTGCAAACAACTCAAATAAAATGTAAAACTTCAAACATAATTGATGGGTAGAAATAGTTTTATTTTGTAATATAGTCCTCTGTAATCCACAAATCTCTGTGAAATTGTTCTATTTTCATTAATCTATTTATAAGATACAAAAAACCAAAGTCCCATCATTATAACAGAATTTTTATAATGTTTTGTGACAATGTAAGGCCACCATATAATTCTGTGGGCGTAGTTTAAATATTTAAACACTCTGCATATTCAGTAGTGGACCTGGGATATAAGGTGTTGGATTGCCAAATGCAGAATTTGAAAGAGGACATTCCCACCCAGCGCCAGTGGCTCACACCTGTAATCCTAGATACTCAGGAGGCTGAGATCTGAGAATTGCGGTTCAAAGCCAGCCTGGGCAGGAAAGTCCAAGAGACTCTTATCTCCAATGAACCACCAGAAAACCGAAAGCGGCTCTGTGGCTGAAGTGGTAGAGCACTAGCCTTGAGTTGAAGAGCTGAGGGACAGTGCCCAGGCCCAGAGTTCAAGCCCCACGGCCGATAAAAAAAGAAAGAAAGAAAGACATTCCCAACTCACTTGATGATTTTCTCTGGGATTTCTTTGATGGCTATTCGCACTTGATTGCTCAGATCTCGGCCTGCATACACAATCCCATGAGTGCCTTTCCCCAAGACAATCCTCTCTCCATTTGCATCAAGGTCATACTCATACTATAGAAAGGGGAGAAAAACAAAACGAGACACAACAGGATAAGAAAGTGTGCAACTGGTACTTGAAAAACCCTTGAAAGCAGTAGTACTAGGACAGTAGTACTAGGAAGTGCCTTCAAAGGTGAGAGCTGGCATTATGTACTGATCTGAATGAATTTCTTAATTTGGGTGCTGCCTGAAGATGGCTAGTCTGGAATTGATGTCTGAACTATACTCACCAGGACAGAAATTGTTATCTTAGCTACCAGGGCAAGATAGTTGTTAGTGAGAAAGGTCAGCACATCCAGGAATTGACTACAGTAGTTGAGGTTTGTCTTCCTTGAAGGCTGAAAAGTCCTCAAGAGGACGTTATGTGTCATTGTCCAGGCAGAGTCTCTGCATTACAACCTGGGAGGGCTTGCTACATGAGGGCCTGCTATGGTGTGTTGCAGTTCATTATGGAGGATGGGGCTAAAGGCTGTGAGGTTGTGGTCTCTGGGACACTCTAAGTCAAGAGGATTAAGTCCATGAAGTTTGTGGATGGTCTGATGATCCACAGTGGGGACTGTGTTAACTACTATGTTGAAAGTACTGTGGGCTATGTACTACTCAGACAGGGTATACTGCATATCAAAGTGAAAATCATGCTATCCTGGGACCCAAATGTTAAGACTGATCCTAAGAAGTCTCTGACTGACTATGTGAGCACTGTGGAGCCCAAAGATGAGATCCTGCCAACCATTCTGTCTCAGAACAGTCCACCTCAGAATAAAAGAATAAAAACCAGAACTCCCTGTCATGTCACAAGCACTCCCTAGAGCTTAACCGGGTCTCCTTTGACAGCAATATCTTAGGCCTGGATGCCATTCCATAAAGACATTTTTTTTTGCCAGTCCTAGGGCTTGAACTCAGAGACTGGGCACTGTGCTTAAGCTTCTTTTTGCTCAAGGATAGCACTCTACCGCTTAAGCCACAGTGCCACTTCTGTCTTTTTCTGTTTATGTGGTACTGAGGAATCAAACCCAGGGCTTCATGTGTGCTAGGCAAGCACTCTACCACTGAGCCACATTCCCAGCCCCCATAAAGACATTTAATAAAGTTTTGCTGGGCACCAGTGGCTCATGCCTGTAATCCTAGCTACTCAGGAGGCTGAGATTTGAGGATCACCAGTCAGACTGGGTAGGAAAGTCCATGAGACTCCAATTAATTACCAAAAAGTCAGAAATGGATCTGTGGCTCAAGTGATAGAGTGCTAGCTAGCCTTGAGAAAGAAAAAAATCAACTAAAGGACAGTGCCTAGGTCTGGAGTTCCAGTACCAGCACATGCACGCGCGCACACACACACACACACACACACATACACACACACACACACAATCTTGTATAGTGACAAATATAGAAAAGTATAAAAGTTATCTCGTAATTAAAAATTATAAACATATTTGAATGCCAAGAAAGTTACAATTAATAGGTTATATATTTTTCATTTAATAATGATTCTCAGTTGTTCATGCACTGATAGAGTGATCTTATGAAATGGAATTCAATACAGTAGTCTAGCTCACCTTTTGGAGAGTTTTTACCATCTAATTTCTGCAATTTAAAACTGTTTCTAAACATGTTAAGTACCCCAAATGAGTGTCTTCCTGAATGGTCCTTTATCAGTTTGTTAGGAAACAAGCCTCTTTTAGTAACCCGGGAAAGAAATGCAGGCCAGTAAGAGTTAAAATTATGATAATATAGTGGATACATTCTAGGAAGTCTTTCTCTTTTTTTTAGTCATACAGATCTAACACATGATTGTAACAATGTGGATTTACAATTAATATTGCTATTTTCCCCAAATCTAGTATCAAAAGCTGTTACTAGTACATCTGGCTGTAATCCCAGCACTCAAAAAGCGGAGGCACAAGAGATCATTACTTCAAGGCCAGGCTGGGCTATATCACAAGACTATGTTTCATGAAAAAGAAAGAAAGAAAGCAATAAAGGAAGGAAAGAAGGAAGGGAGGGAGGAAGGAAGGAAGAAAAGGAAGGAAGAAAGGAAGGAAGGAGGGAGGGAAGGAGGGAAGGAAGGAAGGAGGGAAGGAGGGAAGGAGGAAAGGAAGGAAGGAAGGAAGGAGGGAAGGAGGGAAGGAGGGAGGGAGGGAGGGAAGAAGGAATAGCCTGTAGTGGCTTTTGAATTGATTTTTCCTTATGATAAAACAAAGGTGACTGTAGATTGAGCAACACTTATTTAAAGCAGAAAGAGATTAATGTATATTTCTGTTGTTTTTCATGCTTCACTGTGTCTACTTATAGAAAGTAATTTACACACCCAACTCACTGTGTGTGTGTGTGTGTGTATGTGTGTGTGTGTGTGTGTGTGTGTGTGTGTGTGTGTTTTCCCATCTACTTCAAGGTATGCTCATGAATATTAAGATTACTAAAGTGTCTCCATCATTGTCTGATTACTATCAATCAGCCTTCTTCATAAAGGACTTTTTTATCTTATACCTTTCTCTGTCGCTTTCAAAGTGTATCTCATGGTTCATTTCTACAACATATTTTGATTGTAAGGTAATGATTCTAGTACCTTCAATTATTAAAATTAATCCCTTGATGTTTTCTAAAGGAAATCTCAAGAAATTTATTGCTATGTCATTTAAAAGTATAATAAAGTCACATTAAATTGTAATCAATGAGAGAACTTGACAGTGGCAAATGTGAAAAATCATGCAATGTTTAAATATTCATGAAGTGGTTTGGTAACTATGGACAACAACTGTGTTGTCCTAAACAGCTAGTGACAATCTGACTTTCCTAAGAATTACTTAAAATTTGCTAACATTTACTATATGATATAAAAGTAGATATAACTAGAGTCTGCATCCAGCTGGCTAATTATTTCTCTTAGAGTCTCATAAATACTGCTAATTAGCTTAGAAAAAAAACTTTATCATATATGGTACACAAAAGGAAAATTTAGTCTGTTCCATGGCCAAATTTTTGTTAAATATTTTGAGAGGAAGCCAAGGTCATAAGCTATTTCTATGGAGGCACACTGAACTTAATCTCTGAGAGCAATGGCTGGTGACAGCTGTCTAGTTCAAAAGTAGTTTTAAAGATACTCAACAGAGATTTTAGACATAAAAATTGGGAAATTTTCTTTAGTTAAAAAAAAATGACAAAGAACTTTTCATTTCAGAGCCTTCTGTGACTCACCTCTAAGGTGTCTCCATCCGCCTCTCCCTCCAGCTCCATAGAGCTGCCCGTTCCATTGGTTAACATCTCTTTGACCAAAGAGCAAAACCTATGATAGTTAACATCACAAAAATGGTGTCCGTTAGGATGATTCTTGCTTTTGACTTTTAACTTAGCCTCATTTCATTAAATTGTACTTAAACCAAACCTTTATAACATGGAACAATCACTCCATTCCTTGATTTGATATGGTACTTTACCAATACTCACCTGAATCCTCTCTATACAGTATTCCATATTCCACCAACTGACTGGTCTATTGATTCCTAATCATCTCTTATAGTAATTCTTCTATTCTAATTCCCTCAACCTCTCAATGTTTTTCAAAATTATTTTTTCCATTGGGGAAAGGATCTGAATAGACATTTCTTCACAGAAGATATATAAATGGCAAACACATGACAATATGCTCTGAATTTTGACTTGGGGAAAAACCACAATGAGATCTCACCTCATATCTATTAAGATGGCTATAATCAAAAGGACAGACAATAACAAGTGTTGGCAAGAAGGTAGAAAACCTGAAAAATTCATACACTGCCAATGATAAATAGTCTAGCAAAACAAAAAGTTAAACAAAAATTACCTTAAGACCTAGCATTTTGAAGAAAAAATCATGCATATTTCCTCACAAATACTTACTTGTAAATGTACATAGAAGCTAAACTCATAATAGTCCCAAAGTAGAAGCATCCCAAACTACCAACTGATGAAAAGATAAACAAATAATGGCATAATTACATGATGGAATAGTATTTAGCCACAAAAAGCAATGAAGTACTGATACATACTACATTATAGGTAAATCTTGAAAACACTATGCTAAGTAGAAGCTAGTCACAAAAGACCCCATACTATATAATTCAATATATATGAAATGTCCAAAATAGACAAATTCATAGAAAGTAGACCGATGTTTGTATAGGGCTGGTGTCATGAGAGAGGAGATTGGGAGAAAATGAGGGAGTCAATGCTAATGGATACTAGGTTTCATTTAGGGTTAATTAAAATATTCCAAAATTAAAGCCAGGCGCTGTAATCCTCATGTCTGTAATCCTAGCTATTCAGGAGATTGAGCTCTGAGGATCACTGTTCAAAGACAGCACAGGCAGGGATTTCTGTGAGACTCTTTTCTACAATTAACTACCAGAAAACCAAAAATGGCACTTTGGCTCAAAGTGGTAGAGCTTTAAGCAAAAAAGCTCAAGGACAGCACCCAGGCCCTAAGTTCAAGCCCAATGACTGACAAAAAAAAAAATTCCAAAATTAGACTGTGGCGATAGTGGCAAAACTCTCAGTATACTAAAAAATATTGTTATACACTTTTAATGATTATGAGGTATAAGGATCATATCCCAGGGGCTGGGAAGGTAGCTCAGTGGTAGAATGCTTGCCTTGCATGCATGAGGCCCTGGGTTCGATTCCTCAGCACTACATAAGCAGAAAAAGCTGGAAGTGGCGCTGTGGCTCAAGTGGTAGGGTGCTAGCCCTGAGCTGAAGAGCTGAGGGACAGTGTCCAAGCCCAGAGTTCAGGCCTCATGACCGACCAAAAAAAAAAAAAAAAGGATCATATCCCAAAGCTATACAAATAATTTTTCTGTAAGTTAAGATTTCAAATGTTACAAATATTTGAATCAGCTGTAACTCACCTTCTACACTGATCTTCAGTTGAAAAGTAGATTTGAAAGTCATCAGAATTATCATGGACATAAAGAAAACAACACCGTTCATCAAACTTGGATATGCTATAAAATTTCAAAACATAATATGAATATGTATAAACTATAATACCAATTTGAATCATTTAGAAAATCTATTAACATATTTTCTATCATTTTACAAAGTATCAATTCATTAATCTCTTTTTTTAATGTGTGTATACCAGCACTGAGTTTTGAACTCAGGGCCTGGATACTGTCCTTAAACTTTTTGGCTCAAAGCTGGCACTCTGTCATCTGATTCACGATTCCACTTCCAGCTTTTTGGTGATTAATTGGAGATAAGAGCATCTCCTGAGTTTTTCTGTTTGGGCTAGCTTCAAACTGTGATCCTCAGATCTCAGCCTTCTGAGTATCTAGGATTACAGTCATAACTCACCAGTGCTCAGTAAAAAAGTACTATTATAATGAGCCAAGAAGTTCTTACTAACCACACATAATGAACTTCAGATAGGGAGAAAACAAATGAAAGCAATTTATTTTAGGTTTTGTTGAAAATATGAATAACACCTCTTATGATTAAGTGAAAACATTGAAGTGCACAAACTATTATTATTTATATTAAAACAAATTATATCTTCCCTTGTGTTCTTACCTTATTCCCTTAATAGAAGGAGCTGTAAAATTCCATTCATGGATTTGTTTCTGCAAGTATCAAAGACAGAGATCAGTAGTCGAAGTTTTCTTAGTAAAAGATCATTTTTGCTTTTGTTCTACTGTCAATCTATTTTATTTTGAATAGCAGCTGGGGGTTACAGCAATATATTTTCCATAACTTGGAACCCAGAATACGTTTTCTAATGTATTATAAAAACTAATTTGTATTTCTAATCTAGTTTAGAGCAAACAATATAAACATGAAATAAATAATGGAAATAATAAGAACACAATAAATACATAGTCTTTCATCTTCTGTCAACATAGTAGACAAACTCACCTAAGTTGAACCAGCTTACCTAAGTTGAATGATTTGTAAAAATGTTTGGAACTAGACAAAGTGGCTCACACCTATAATCCCAGCAACTTGGCAGATAGAGATCAGGATGAGCAAGGCAAGCTTGGGGGAAAAGCTTCCAAGACTCCATTTCAACCAATAAAATCTGGCATGGTAGCATACACCTGTCATTTCAGCTGTGGTGGGAAGAGTAAATAGCAGGACTATAGTCTTAGGCCAGATGTGAGAATAAATGTGAGATCTTATTTGAAGAATAATTTAACAACAAAAATAAGCCGGGGTTTGGCTCAAGTGATAGAATACATGACTAGCAAGCATGAGGCCTTGAGTTCAAATCCTAGCACTACAAAAAATGTTTGGAGAAGCAAGACTGTGGCAGCATTCAGTAGTCTTCATTTTGTTTTCTCCCTTGCAGTTAGATAGGGCTGACCAATGGGATGTGAACAGGAGTGATAGCTACCATCTTCAGGCTGGACCCATGAAAATTTTTATGGTAATCCTCTACCTTTTATTCCCCCAGCCACTGATAGATGGAATGGGACTCCCTGCCAATCTTTTAGATGATATAAGGCATAGACCAATTTCCAGTGTGTAACTATTGTGAACTGCTTGTTTTAGCAGTTGGCCTCCCGTGATTAAGCAAACAACTGGGGTTTCAATGTGTGTCATGAAGTAATTTTTAAAAACGATTCTGGGGGCGGGGTGTCGGGGGGAGATGGGGAGGGATGGTAAGGGGAAACAAAGGAGGAGGCAACAATGTTTGATAAGAAATGTACTCATTACCTTGCTCATGTAATTGTAACCCTTCTGTACGGTATTTTTACAATAAATAAAATAAAATAAAAGCGATTCTCTCCCTTTCCTATACCAAAATTTTGCACAAAGCTAAGCTTTAGAGGAAACGTCTAAAATCCAGTTTCAGATAATTTAAGGGGCCACAACAGCAAAATATCATAACTACAGAAAATAATTGTTTGTGCTTGAACTCAAGGTCTGGGTGCTGTCTCTGAGCTTTTTTTGTGCAAGGATAGCACTCTATCACTTGAGCCATACCTCCACTTCCCTGGCTTTTTGGTGGTTAAGTGGAGACGAGGGTCTCACAGACTTTTCTGATTGGGCTGGCTTTGAACTGTGATCCTCAGATCTTAGACGCCTGAGTAGCCAAGATTACAGGTGTGATCCCTGGCACCTGGATTTTGATTGCTTTTTAACAATGCATTTCTCATGTTCTTTACATTTACTCTAGAAAAGACTGCATGTGAGCCACTGACACCCAGCTTTGCAGAAAATAAATTTACCTTGGAAAGTACATTTGGTTGGCCTGAATTTCCTTAAAACTGGTCATTGGGAGTATTTACATTATGGAAATCAGCTAATTGAAAATTAGCCTGCAATGCAGGGAGTTAGTTGTTCAACATTTCACAGCATACTACAGTCTCCTTAGTTCCAATGAGTTCCTAAATCCTTGAAATAACTAAACCAGGAACATAATCTCATTTGATAGTGATGTTACATGAAGTCGCACACATGTGGATATATATTCTTTCCACCATACATATATAGCCCACCAGGGAAGAAAATGCAACCATGTAGAAAAATGTCATTTCACTCTAGGCAAACTGCTTGTTCTTCACAAACTGCAGAATTTAAAAATTATAAACGAAAACAAATGTAAAGGATTCCTCCTAAAGTAAAAGCAATTTCAATTCCTCTCAGACATTTTCTCTGACAACAATAAGCACTTGTGCAAAGCATTTCATCAGTCAAGAAAAACTAGCATTTGTTATGTATATAGTTCTTTTCCATTTCTTATCATAGACTATATATTAACAAATACAACTAGCACATAATTACCAATGGAAAATTCTATTAAGAGCCAGTAACCACAATAGAATTCAAATGAGGTGGGCCCTTTTTGTAAAATTTCATTAACTCAAAGCCATCTTGCAAGCCAGGTGCTGGTGGCCTGAAATCTTAGCTACTGATGAGACAGAGAGGGAAAACAGCAGTTCAAGGCCAGCCCAGGAAGGAAAGTTTGCAATACTCTAACTAAAAAACAACCACCAAAACCAGGGCTGGAGGCATGGCTCAAGTAGTAGAATGCTTGCCTAGAAATCATGAGGCCCTCAATTCACATACCAGTACTGAATAGCATTTAGTTTTTTCTGATACCTACTGGTCAAAATATGAGATTATGTTGCACAAATATTAATGAAATGGTAAGAATACAGAGTGACAGTGGCATCAATGGCACAAAGAAAATAAGTATGGTTGATTTCTGGCACAGTAATTTTCAAACTGAGGACAAGGTGGTACATGGAGGGCTATGGATACAGACAAAAGGTGCAGGGTCTACTAATATTCTATTCCTTGACCTGAGGTATGCTCATCTTGTCAAAATGCATTAAACTCTACATCTCTAATTTATATACTTTTCTGTGTGTATGTTATAGAGACTGAAATCCTTAAGACCAGAGTTATTTCAAATTACGTAGAGGTTTTCTTCAGAGTCTTCAATAATCCAGACTCTATATTGGCTGAGCATTTTTGAACTTGAAATATGAAATTCAAAAGGCTTTGAAATCTGAAACTTTCTGAACACTAACTCTAAAAGACTTTTGGATTTGGGAGCATTTCAGACTTTCAGATTAGGGAGATTCAATCTGTACTTCAATAACAAGTTTTTTTTTAAAAAAAAAATACTAAAATTAAAGAAAAAATAAACTGGGCCAATGGCTTATGCCTGTAATCTTAGCTACTCAGAATGCTGAGATCTGAGGATTGTGGTTCAAAGGCAGCCCAGGCAGGAAAATTCATGAGATTTTTATCTCCAAAACTACCAAAACTACCAAAAACAGTAGAGGTGTTGCTCAAGTGGTAGAGTGCTAGCCTTGAACAAAAAGCTGAGGACAGTGTCCAGGCCCTCAGTTCAAGTCCCAGAACCAGCACAAAAATAAAATTAAAAATAAAAAGAAATGCACCTTTTTCAAATGAGATATAGCTATATGAAATCCATGTATATACTTCATTGTAGCTTGGTTTTCTCACATATGCACTCAAACATTTAATGTACACCTTGCAAGAAAAAAATGCAAGCACATCATTGCAGCTCATCTTCACTAATGGCTGTTGACTCTACTTTGAGTGATAAGAAGAACTGCTCCAATGGTAAATATTGGACAAGGTTACTGGCCTTCACTTGAGATATTATCACTGTATCTGATAAGGTGTTTTTAATATGGATTTGAGTCTCTGTTTGTTCTATGATGTTGCATTTTATTTGCAAAGATAGTGCTTATTTTTTAGCTGATTAGAACATACTCATTCACACTATTACTTTCAGGAAGAAAAATAATCTTCCCTTGCCAAGTTAACGGCATAAGTCTTCTCATACTCCATGGAAACACATGCAAAGCAAGCAACTATCTACCACACGTGCCAAAGGTGCTGTGTTTCTTTATTACTGCAAAATTTATGAAAGAGAAAAAACTGATGAAGTACTTTAGATAAAGAAGTGAAAATTGTTCCATTACTACAAGACATCAGACCCAGGCCAGATTTTTGACAATCTCTCCAATGAGTAATTACAATCTCATGCCTCCTGTATAGTTGGTATAAGTACAAATTAGAATGGTATAAATATGATAGTAATGATGAAAGTTTTAAACAGAAGTGCCCTTGAATCAAGCAAGCCTATTTCTAGCAATCTCTGCTCCTACTGTGGCAGAGTAGAGCTGCTAGGATATGCTGGGAAGAGTGAAAAAAGTAAACTTTCATATGTATCAGTAAGGAAAAGGTGAAATAGTTGGGCATAGTAGTGCACACCTGTAATTACAGCACCCAGGAAGATGAAGCAGGAGGATCATAAATTTGAGGCCAGTCTGGGCTACACAGTGAGTTTGAAGCCAGTCTGGGCTATATAGTGTAACCCTGTTTCGAAAGAAAAAACATATAAGTTCATCTAGACCTGGAGATAAATTATATGATATGGAAAAATAGGAATTATGACATTTTAAAATCAGGTAGATTGAGGTGTGGATTGGGATAAAGTACCCATGATGTATGGAGAGTTAAAATATTTTGCAAAACAATCAATGCATGCTGTATGATAGCATTGTAATGTTAAATCACTGTGTATAAATGTATATATTATATGTATATACATTAAATATACATAATTGAGTATAGAGAAAGGCTTCAGAGATAGCCAACATATCACTGGGGATGGGGATGAGAATGGAACATGGATAATGTTTGAGGAATATGAAGTAACTTTCTTTGAATATTTCCTGCTTACTTCCTTATGGTTTAACTTCTGAAGAACAAAACTTCACTTTATATAATATGCATACATACACACACTTACATACCACATATAGTCTCCTATATGTGTCTCCATAGATACATACGTATACAATACATACATAAAAATGAAGAAATCTCTTTCTTTTCACTTTTTTGTGCTGGTCCTAGGGGCTTGAACTCAGAGCCTGGGTGCTGTCCCTGAGCTTCATTTGCTCAAGGCTAGCACTCCACTACTTGGGCCACAGGGCCACTTCTGGCTTTTTTCTAAGTAGTTTATTTGAGATAAAAGCCTCACTGACTTTTGTGCCTAATTTTTAACCATAATCCTCAGATCTCAGCTTCCTGAATACCTAGGATTGCAGGCATGAACCACCAGCACCCAGCCTTTTCTTCTTTTTTGCATCTGTGATTCATTCAGAAGTCAATTAAGCATGGGTACCTTTCTTTCCAGTCTTACCATATAGACTGAACTGCTTTGAAATGGAGTCCTTAATGGATAATACAGAAGAAAGAGCTGTAGATAATTTGTCTCTCTTACCATTTCCGTAGGTGAGACATGCCACAAAGAAACCACTCTCTCCTCAACTTCATTGTTGACAGAAACATAAGAAGGCTGGTAAACCTTGGTTGGTTCTATCACCAGAACCTAAAATGTGAACAGATTAATATTACTCCTGGGGATGTGAAATTGGAACCCTGCCCAGTGAGAAAGTGGGAAGATTTGCACTTAACAAACACTTATGGAGGACCAACTATGCCAAGCGTGGCTCTAGGGGCCAGGGCTTCAGCAGGGCATACAAGTCACTGCCTATAGGAGGGCTGAGCTCTAACGAGGCAGACACAGCAACAGGGCTGCGAAATTCAGTGCTACGTACCAATTTAAAGAAAATAAGAAAGAAGGGGGAGCATTTTTCCAGACAGATTAAGAAAAGCCTATCTGAGGAGACTATAGAAGAAAGAGGTAGCTTACAAGTTTTGTTTTTGTTTTTAATTTGTACCAGTTCTGGGGCTTGAACTCAGGGCCTGAGTACCATCCCTCAGCTTTTTTTGCTCAAGGCTAGTGCTCTATGACTTTAGCCACAACTCCACTTTTGAATCTTTTTTTTTTTTTGGAAGTTTACTGGAGATAAGAGTCTCACGGACTTTCCTGCCTAGGGAGGCTTCAAACCATGATGCTCAGATCTCAGGCCTCCTAATAGCTACAATTATAGGTGTGAGCCAACAGTGCCTTGCTAAGGTAACAATTTTCAAGAGAAATAGAAAGTAAAGTCGATAGTCAGCAGGTATAAAGTGTGTGTACATGAAAAGAGATGAAAGGTGAGTGATGTTTTCATTAACAAGGTGTCATTTGGTTAAGAGAGAGGAAGAAAGGGGAGAGACGGAAGAGAAGGAGGAGGAGGGAAAGAGAGACAAGAGCAGGTAGAAAGATGGAGTGGGTGAGACAGGGATGAGGAGAGAAAAAACAAATCTCCAAAACAAATGAAGCACTATGTTTAAGAGTGCTAAACCAGAGTAGAGCTTACACAGAATCTGTTTTGTTACTGGTTTGTACCTTGTAAGTTTGAAGTATTTCATAATTAAAAGGAGATTTTAAAATGTATTACCCAGGAACAAAATAATTATTATTTCCAACAATTCCATCTTTTATTAGATGTTTAGTGAAATTCTTAAAAACTGCATGCTCACAAAATCTTGTGGCATAAATATGAAACAAAATTATTGAAGCATAATTTCCAAAGCATTTAGAAAGCTTAGCAATGACTCCTTATAAGATGATTGTAACATTGAAACAAAAACTCAATGCAAAGCTAAAAGCAATTCTTCCTTTTCAATAAGGTTTTACTATTGATTAGTGCCACTAATCAACATTAAGAGACAAACCAAAGTTTAATACAAGACAGCTTCAGAATGTACTTTTTCACTATGAGTATATTTTTGATCAGTCTTAGACCTTGAACTCTTTTATTCAAGGCTGAAGTTCCACCATTTGAGCTACTTCTGGCTTGTTTTTGATAGCTTATTGGAGAAAACAGTCTTGTGGGCTTTCCTGCCCAGGCTAGCTTTGAACTGGAATCCTCAGATCTGAGCCTCCTGAGTAGCTAGGCTTATAGGCATGAGCCACTACCACTTGGCTACTACTAGATTTTTAGAGTAGTGTCTCCACCTTGGGCCTATTAACATTTTTGACCGGATAACTCCTTATTATCCTATGCATTGTGGGATGCTTACCGGCCATTTCAGTTGCTCCAGCTAGCAGCACAGCATCTTCTACCCCAGTTTTGACAACTCAAAATGTCATAAGACATTACCAAATGTCCCTTGGGGGACAAAATCACTCTTAATTGAGAGCTACTATTTGATATGGCTACTTCCCAAGGAGTTAACACATGGTTTGCTTAGTCTCCATAGGAATCATGGTTATCCTCACATAAATTGTTCTACAACTTTCTTCCATTCTGAGCATTAATAATTCAACAGCACTAATCCAAATTTCTTTGGTCTAACTTAAAGAATCTGGGGCTAGACACGTAGCTCAGTAGTATATTACTTGCCTAGTATGTACAAGGCTCTAGGTTTAATCCCCAGCACCTCAAAACAATCAAACAAATTAACCAGATTTAGAATATCTTACCGGAAATCTGAGTCCATGAGTAATTCCATTGGTTGCTTCAAAAATTATATCTAGCCAGAAGTTAAGTTGTTCCTGCCTGGGGGAATGTTCAGTATTGGATTTTTTATAGCGTTGAATTAATAACAAGTTCTGAACTAATGACCTCAGGTACCTGGAAAAGTCAGAAACCCTATGTTAGTCTTAAAGAAACTGAATTCAGGTCTACTAGCTTTTTAAAAGAAACTCCCTAAAACTTTTATTTACTTAATTTCATATATCATGATTGACTCAGAAACAATCATTTGCAGCCACACAATGAAAAGAAATCCATACAGTAGGCAAAGTTAGCCCAACAGAATTATAAAGCATGGAATCTGGCCAACATCAGACCCAATCACAGTGATTGGAAAGCATATGCTAAATGGGTCATGTTACTGTTGTTTTTGTGTTCCAGTCCTGGGGCTTGAATTCAGGGACTGGGCACTGTTCCAGGCCAAAGGACAGTGCCCAGATCTAGCATTCTACCCCTTGAGCCAAAGCTCCACTTCCAGCTTTTTAACTAGTTTATTGGAGGTAAGAATCTCATGAACTTTTCTGTCCAGGTTGGCTTCAAACCATGATCCTCAGATGTCAGTCTCCTGAGTACCTCTCATAGGTGTGAGCCTCCAGTGCCTGGCTCATATGTTAAATGTTTTAAATAACAAAAGCAAGTAGCTTGAAAGTAAAAGTGATTACAAAATGGTAATATTTAAAATCCACTGTCTTTTCTTTAATAAAACTTTTAATTTGAGGTATTTTTAGATTCACATGAAGTTGCAAAGAAAAAATGCTGAGAGAACTCATATGCCCTTGATCTATTTAACCATGATGGCAACATTATAGTACAGTACCACAATATGGTGTTGCTGTTGATATAAAGTAGAGAACATTTCTATCAGCACAAGTCCCTCATTTGGTCCTCCTATAATCACACCGTCCGTTTGCATCCTCTCCTTTATTCCTACCAATCACAAATGTGAAACTTGTTTTCATATTATTTATTTTATATGATTAGGATCTGACCAGATAAAGACTTTAGCATTATGAAGTCTTGACTCTGCCTATACCTTTCCTGTCTTTGAGAACTTTCTGAAATATAGCTGCCAGGCAGTGGTATTCCATCCTCTCTTGTACCAAATAGGAATAATCCACTGAATACATTAAAGCATTATATTTGCTCTTTGAAGATGAAGTCTAGAGTTACCAGTGACGGCAGACTAGCCGTAAACTCCAAGCTGACTTGCGTGGGTACTCAGCAGTCCTCAAAATGCTACACATTCCAAAGAAAGGTCTGACCTTGACTGGATACTGAAACACTGACTCTAAGCCCCTGGAATGTCCTTCCTGCTAAAAGTATAGTACTTTCTAAAAGCCATGGCCCATGCTAGACAGTTTATGCATACAATATGACACATGGTGGAAGCTTTGGGCCACATACATTTTGTCAGTTTGACCTCTGGAAAGGCTAGATACTAAGGTATTACGCTCAGCCACAGGCTCATACCTATAATTCTACCTATTCAGGAGGCCGAGATCTGAGGATTGCAGTTGGAAGCCAGCCAGGGCAAGAAAGTCTATGAGACTCTTATTTCCAATTAAGCACCATAAAAGCTAGAAGTGGAGTGGTAGTTCAAGTAGTAAAGCACTAACCTTGAGCTTGCTAAGGGACAGCACCCAGGCCCTGAGTTCAAGACCCAGGACTGACAAAAAAAAAATCAGCTGCTTGAATATTCCATAGCCACCTACTATATTAGACATCTGAGTGTAGCCTCAGCAATATGTGTTTAAATCAACACAAGTGATTCTGATGTATAATAAAGATTGAGAGCCACTGATAAAGAAAAATATCCTGCAACTAGCTTTTCTTATTTTATAATAAAGCATGAACACATGTCTGCATAATGGCTACATCAGAGCTGTGTCATCATTTTATTAACCACACTGTGTGTGGTTTTTGTAAGGGTCATCGTTTTCTTGGTGTGCTTTTTATAGCTCTATCACAGGCTTTCTAAAAGATGCATGGATAAATACCAGTACAAATAAATATTTTGCTTTTGAGGAGTTAGACAAGCTGAAGAAAATAACAGGATTGATAGTCTAATTTCAGAGATAGAAAGCACAGGACCATTATTCTGTGCATGTATGCATCTTTCTCTCCATTTACATGAAAGCAACAAGCCCCTTGGAGCCATTATGTCTTCTCTAACTGCTTTAATGAAGAAGTCAGAAGGAGAAATATGGCAGTTGCTACTCTTTGGTGAAGGTCAGATTTGGAGATGGGACTTACCAGACTGGCGGTTTCAGTTTGAACAATCTTTCTGCTGCCTGGACTGCCTTCCCAATGTCACTGGCCAACATGCTGACAGTGAAGAACTGACCCACATCCCAGTAATTGTTCATTTTCTCCAAGCTCCCTTTTCTTCCCAACAGACTGTTCAGACGAACACCTTAAGAATTTGAATTTTAAATAGTCATGAAGATCTTTCTGTTATACCATGCAAGCCTTTAAGTGGAGGATAAGCAGATGTTTTATTTGGGCTGCTGTCTAGAAAGTAACTCTTCCTTTTGAAAAATATTCATAAATTTAATGTTAAGTTAGTGTGACCAAAATACGAACATTGGCAATAATGAACAGTGTTACCTATTTTCCTCAGTTCAATGGAAGTTTCAAACTGTTGACCAGCAACTATCAGCAAAACTGCAAGGTTAATTCCTGAATAAAGGGAAGACTGGAGTTCAAATCCTTTGCGATACCTGTAATTACAAAACCATCAAATTTTTATCAGATTTTATTGTATTACAATGTATAGATAACAGTACAAAATGTGTAGATAATGGTACAAACTATCTTCTCATGAGCATATATATTACTCTAATTTATTTATTTATTTATTTATTTTTGGCCCGGTTGTGGGGCCTGAACTCTGGGCCTGGGCGCTGTCCCTCAGCTCTTCAGCTCAAGGCTAGCACTCTACCACTTGAGCCACAGCGCCACTTCCCGCTTTTTTCTTTTTGCTTATGTGGTGCTGAGGAATCGAACCCAGGGCCTCATGCATGCAAGGCAAGCGCTCTACCACTGAGCCACCTTCCCAGCCCTCTAATTTATTTTTTTTTACAGTTCTCTCCTTTACCTTGATGAGCAGTCACATACAACTCTCAAATATGTTGGAGTGAGTGGGTGCGCGCGTGCGTGTGTGCGTGCGTGCGTGCGTGCGTGTGTGTGTGCATGCTCATGCTAGAACTGGGGTTTGAAGCCAGGGGCCTTGTACTTTAACTTGGCTTTTTCACTCAAGGCTGGTACTCTAACATTTGAGTCACACTCCGCTTCTGGCTTTTTGGTGGTTAATTGGAAATAAAAATCTCACTGACCTGGGTGCCAGTGGCTCATGCCTATATCCTAACTACTAAGGAGACAGATCTGCGGATCACGGGTCAAAGCCAGCCCAGGCAGGAAAGTCCATGAGACTCTTATCTCCAATAAACCACCAGAAAACTGGAAGTGGCGCTGTGGCTGAAGTGGTAGAGCACTTGAGCTGAAGAGCTGAGGGACAGCATCCAGGCCCAGAGTTCAAACTCCACAACCTACCAAAAAAAGTCTCACAGATTTTTCTGCCTGGGCTCGCTTTGAACCACAAACCTCAGATCTTAGCTTCTTGAGTGGCTAGGATTACAGGTAGGGGCTACCAGAACGTGGATCAAATAACTTTTTAACAAAATGTTGTAATAGAAATATTTCAGAATATTTTAAAACACTAGGGAGTTTTATATTCTTTTTTATAAGGCTTATATTTTTATTAGAAAAGCCATAATAAATATATATAGAAATCATATTAAAGCATACAAGAGACTTTTAAAGTATAATCCTACTCCCAAAAGATAGCCATGGCAATTCCCATTTTAAAATTTAGATTACTAACAACCCAAATGCCCCACAATAGATATGTGGATCCAAAAAACGTGATACTATATACAATGGAATTTTACACAGCCATTAAAAAGAATAAAATAATGTCATTTGGAGGGAAATGGATGGAACTCAAACAAATCGTGTTAAGCAAAGTAAGCCAAGATCAGAGAGACAAATGTCCCATGTTCTCTCTGATATGTGGAAGTTAGATCTAAAACACACTGGAATATGACAAATTACACAGGCTTTAGGATATTCACATGAGGATAGTCTTAGGAGAGAATCACAAAGATACAATACCCAAGTGCCTTTTCATATGTATATAAAATATACATACTGAAATAAACTCCAAAGATACCAAACCAAGGTCTTTTTTTTCTTAATTTGTTTTTTCTCTCTGATGATTCTGTATCCTTTACCTTATATACAGTGTATTCACATGCATATCTGTGGAGGGTGAGAGGAGGGCACAGAATCTGAGGGAAAAAGGGTGAAAAGTGTAGCAGTGGAGCGCAAGGGACATTGACGAAAGAGAACTATACAACTCATAGGTAGAGATGGAAGGGAGGAACTGCGAGAGAATGAGGGAACAAATGACACATGAAAATGTAATTCCTCTCTCTGCATATGACTTCTGTAATAACAGCAAACTAATTTAAAAATTTAGACTACTGTTGCACCGTGAATATTTTTATTACACAGAAATGGCATCAATCATTCTCTTTTTGCATGCCATTTGTGTGCTTGCTTATAGCACAATGTGAAATCAGTTCTTCATGCAGGAAGCCGTAATTCTAGCATCTCAGACCTCAAATACTTATCTGGCATATAAGGTGAAAGGGGTAGAGATATATCACATTAGGATAAAGAATAAAATACAAAACAGGGAACATGGGCTAGGTATGATGGTACATGTACATAATACCAGCAATCAGAAGACAGGCAGAAGGATCACAAGTTCCAGTCCAGGCTGGGCTACACAAGGAGATCCTGTCTCAAAAACAAAATCTAAAACAAAACAAACAAAAAACTCCCTCAAATCTAGGAGTGTCATTTTTATACAAAAAGCTTACAGGTTCATTTTAACTCTCAATTCTTTCCTACACATAAAAATTTCTCCTCCATGAGGAAGTATGACTATTATGTTAAGAAAAAATGATTTAGTCAACTAAGTAATACCTATAATTGACACTGTTAGAACTAAGGACTTGCAAGCCAGGAGTAATTTATTATGCATTTGACAAGGGAATTCTACAATAAAATATTAGTTCTTGAGGGGAAAAGTTAAGTCAGCTAACGTGGCTTTATGAACTTTGGAGTATAACACAAATACCATGCAGCAGATCAGAGGACAAACCTCCCCCTCCCACACCCATATAGTATGTTCTGAGAATGCTTTATCATAATGGATTTTTTTCATTTTTCCACAATGAAAAGCTATACTGAACGGTGCTGCCTGGGTTTCTCACTATGTCTTCTCACAAAACTTTCAGAATCAAGAAGTTTTGGGCCAAGAAACAAAAGCAAAATGGCTCTACTCCCCAGTGGATTTGGATGAAAACTGGTAACAAAATCAGGTATAACTTCAAGAGAAGACACTGGAAGAGAACCAAGCTGGGTCTGTAAAGAATTGTACCAGATGCCCACATATTTATGCTCTACCATGAACCAGTCAAGCTGAAATGACAATACTGCCTGGATTGACAGGCATTTTTTAAACTGGTTTTTCTTTAAGAATGGGCACAGTAATAAATATGTAAAAACTTACATTTGAAAGAAAAGTTAAACTGAGAAGGCAAAGGATGTTCTTCTCCATACTCATTCAGGGGCAGAAATCATTTCAACTGCAACAGGATTACAGTACTAGATTTGCCATTAACCATCCTTATAAACTTGGATCACCCACCCACCTCCTTGGGCTGCATACTCCACATCTGTATTCCAGAGGGTATCATCCAGAGCAAATGTGTTATAATCAAAAGGCAAAGCTATCTTTGTTCCCCGTACCTACCACCACTACCTTCTGAGTAGGTGGAGAGAAACTCCTATGATTTGTATGAAGGAGCTGTAGATAGTGATTTCCTGACCTGGATGTTGAATTCTTGGCCACTCAAATGGGAACATAGCTTACTATTTTAGCTCTATCAAACAGACTTCCATTCAAAACTCCGAGTGCCTTGTCTCTATCATACAGTGATTAGGTACTACTAGATAATAAATAAGAATAAAAGAAGGTCCTAGTTTTCCAAGAACATATACTATGAAGGAAGGGATAAGGTACACACACAATGAGGGAAAATACCTGGAAGAATGAGAGAAGGACAAAACCACAAAAATCCAAATACAGAGACGTTCACAGGGAGACCCTAAATATAGGAGATATAAAAACTCTAGAAACTGGAGACGTGACATGAAGATGGTCAGAAATGTACTAACAATGATGTGGAAAAAGAAACTGTGATAAAAATAATGACACGAGCTGCACTTTGGAAAATCCTAAGGAACTATAGTTTAGTCAAACACATACCAAGTAGTAGAAGACAGGGCTGAAGGTATATTGTAGAAAATTTTCAAAGCATTTTCAAAGAATGGTGATCTCAAAGTCTGACTTCCATATAATAGGGAATGGAGCTCCATGTGGAATTTTTATTTTTTTGGAGGAACAAACTGTAAATCTATGAAGAATGGACTGAACAGACACCAAACAGAGAGACTATGTGGGATACTATTAGAACATTTCTAGTAAGAAAGTAAGAGATGGCAGTGACTAGGGCAGGTGGTGGTAATGAGACAAGATTGGAAAGGAGTAAGGGAAGAGTCACAGAAGGGCTAGAAGTGGGCACTGACTATATGGGGAGTCAGATGAGTTACAGGAAGCAAGCATTAACTGAATGTTTAAGCCTGGGCAGGTAAACAGTGGTAGCTAGAAAGCAAGGTATTGGAAACTCTGCCTTGTGGAGAGGAGGAAATGACTTCAGTTTTCAACACTGTGACTCTTCAATACCCATATCATTTGAGGTATAACCAGTGGTCAAAGAGGAGGGCTATGTAGCACCACAACTTAGTAGAGAGTTTGGGCTACAGATATCCTGGTAAGGGTACCAAGGCATCAGACTAGTCAGAAAACATGTGTGGCTAGACAAAGGGTGGCAGAGGACAGAGTGTCATGCTTGGAAGAAGAGGAAGGTGGAGGGCGAGGAGAGGAGGCAGAAGGAGAAGAGGGCAAGAGGAAGGAGTGCAAACAATTATAACTGAGAGCCAAAAAAGAGTAATGTCAAGAGCTTTTCTGAGAGAAACGGCTCCATTATCAAATCATATCCTATCTATATATTTATATGTATGCATATATGATAAGATATATACAATATATAAGATATATATATGAGATATGGTATATATATATATATATATATATATATATATATATATATATATATATATATAATCATTTTCATCACTAATATCCTGGTTCAGGTCACCAGCAACACTGAATTACTGCCATAGTCTCTGCTTCTTTGTTCTTGCTCCTGTGGCAGACAGTTTAATGGACAAAAATTTCTTTCATCTCAATATGACTTTGAAGTTCTAATCAAACAGAGATGGAGTGTATTAATCTATTCTTTCACTTGGGCAGGTCATGTGACTCAATTTGATCAATAGCATGTAACAGAAGTAACTTCATGTGAGTTCTTAAGCCTATGTCCCAGAAGAAGCCTCCTGGCTCCAACCTTCACACTCTGGTACTAGGAAATAAAGCTGGTCGACTGGGACCTGAATCATATCACCAGTCAATACCAACTGCCAAATGTTATTATATAAGGCCATCTTGGATCTTCTAAGCTCTGCCTTCTCCTCTAGCTGATAGCAACTTTCAGAGTAAGCTTGGACAAAGCCAGAAGAGGAACTGCTTGGAAACTCCACAGAATCATGAGAAACTATGGTTTGAAGTCATTGACTTTTAGGGTTGTTAGGCAGCAGGCCATAGCTGAGACATTTTAAAGACATACTTTGCACAACAGTGAGACTATTCCTGCTAAAATGCGTGGCAGATACTATCAATCCTCTGCTCAGAGTCCTCCAGAGATGGTTCCTTCCTGCTCAAGAGCAAAAAGATGTTTCTTCCCTCCTGTCTCAAGCTATCTTCCTTCACATCCTTTGCATAGTCCTTACCTTTCACACTTTTTCCTTGGATTCTGTCTCTGCTGTTTTCTCTGTCTAGAACGTCTGCAAGGCTCACTACTTCATTAACTTTATTATTATTATTGTTGTTGTTGTTGTACTGGTCCTGGGGCTTGAACTCAGGGTCTGGATGCTGTCCCCTAGCTTTTTCACTGAAGCCTGGATCTCTATAATTTGAGCTATACGTCTACTTTGGGCTTTTTTTGGTGGTTAACTGGCAATAGAAGTCTCAAGGACTTTCCTGCCTGGGCTGGGTTCAAACTGCCATGAACCACTGGTGCCCAGCTTAAACTTTATATTTGTATTCACTTTTACTGACCACCCTGTTTAAAATTGCTCTCTGTCTGCTTAACTTCTCTCCATAAGCCTGATCATAAGCTGAAATTCTTTTGCTTTTAAAAAAATAATTTTGGGCTGGGAAGGTGGCTCAGTGGTAGAGTGCTTGCCTTGCATGCCTGAGGCCCTGGGTTCGATTCCTCAGCACCACATAAGCAAAAAGAAAAAAGCCGGAAGTGGCATTGTGGCTCAAGTGGTAGAGCGCTAGCTTTGAGCTGAAGAGCTGAGGGACAGCGCCCAGGCCCAGAGTTCAGGCCACACGACTGGACCCAAAAAATAATAATTTTATTGTTATTCTTAAGGTATAGAGGGGCTATCATTTCATAAGAAATTCTATAAATTTTACATTATTTGCTTGTCTGATTTTCCTCACCATCTAGAAAATTCTCTGGCCCAGAGAAAGCCCTCAATAAACATTTGTTGAATGAAGGAAGGAAGGAAGGAATGAGCAACTCACTGGAAAGACAATGCCCCAAAGGTGGTAGACAAGATTCTTGAAGGGGTAGCTGAGAGGGATCATGCTAAGTCTCTATCCTGCCTCATACATGAGTAAACATGGAAGTGTGAATAGCAGCAAACCCTGGTTTTCATGGTTTTTCTCTCAGAAAGGGGGATCTGGAAATTCCTTGAACACATTTATTGTAATTTTTCACTAGGGAAAAGTCCTGTGTGCTCAGTCTCTGTGATTCTGTTATTTGCTATTTACCATGCAATGGCACTGTCTCGGCTTTCATAATCTTCATAGTCGGAATCCAGGAAGATGTCCTTGTAGATCCTTCCACACAGGCAGAACATGTCAGGGGCTGGGTGATCACAGCTCTGTAGAATCTGGAGCATGACCTGAAGAGCCTTCTCCCGGTCACCTTCAGTATTTCTCCTGAAAGATACATGGTATGAGACAATAAACATCAGAATCAAGACCAATATACATATACATAAACATATACATATACATATGTATTTGTTCTGCACAAATACTGGCTAAAAGGCTCTACTCTACCAGGAAAAGTTTCCAAATAAGATTTCCCTTTTCATTTTCAAATGTAGCAAGTGTTGAAGATCTGTGCCAGTAAATCTCATATATGTGTTCTCAGTACCTATCTGATTTTATTTTTAACAAACATATCATAAAAATGATAAATTAGACAGGAAAGGGAAAGTGATATAACAAAAGACTTGAAAATCATAACAACCAAAGGCAGTGTTATATACTGTCCTGATTGTGAGTTAATTGTTTAACTCATGTAAAATAAATGAAAAAAAGAAAAATAAGTTGGGCTGAGAAGGTGGCTCAGTGGTAGAGCGCTTGCCTTGCGCGCATGAGGCTCTATGTTCGATTCCTTAGCACCACATAAGCAAAAAGAAAAAAGCCAGAAGTGGCGCTGTGGCTCAAGTGGTAGAGCGTTAGCCTTGAGCTGAAGAACTGGGGGACAGCGCCCAGGCCCAGAGTTCAGGCCCCACGACCGGACCCAAAAAAATAAAAAAGAAAAAGAAGTGAAAAAGGGGGAAATATAAACACTGACATCGAGGAACTATCATTAATTTTTAGGTTTGATACCATAGTTGTGATTGCTTTATAAAATTGTCTAACTTTTAGAGCGACATACTGAAATATCTATGACGCATAATGAATCTATTGCTGGAGTATGAGGGCAAAGAAGCAATGAGGGAAACAATGACATGAAGTGATAATTATCCAAGTGAATATGAGTACACGGAGGTCATTAGTTATAGCAGTAGTTAGTGGTATGTGTCAACTTGAATAGGCTAATGGATGCCAAGATAGTTGTTAAATATTTTTTCTGAACACATCTATGAAATTTACATTAAATCATTAGACTAAGATTTTTCTTCCTCCAATGTAGGCTGGTACCATCTAAATCACTGAGACCCAAAGGCTGCATTTTTCTACTCTTTCTTCTCTCTCTCCCTTTCCTTATCCCCCTTCTCTATTTCTTCTGTGTCCCCCTCTCTTTTCCCTCACCCCCACTTTTCCTCCTTTCTTCCTCCTCCTCTCTCCTTGAGGTCAGATATCCATCTTCTCTTGTCTCTACCCTGAGATACTGAAGCTGCTGGTACCAGGCTTTCAGACTCTAGGACTCAAACCAATGTCACCCCAAGTTCTCAGGACTTTGGACTCAGACTGAAGTGTACCACTGGACTGCCTGGGTCTCCAACTTGTACTCATGAGACTTTACAGCCTCCATAATGGCATAAACCAATTTCATAATTACTTCTTATATCTCTCTGTATTCTACTGATCTCTGTTACAAAGAAACATACTTACAATTACACTATTTTCTACTTTTAAATATATTTGAAAATTTATATGACAAAACAAAAAATTTAATAGGCACTATTCTGACTCAACAATCCCCCTTCTAGAATCTGTAAAATTGAATTTTTTTGGTAGCACTGGGGTTGGAACTCAGGGCCTGGCATTTGTTAGGCAGGGACTTTTACCACTTGAGACACATACACATAGCCCGTATTACTTTCATGGTGTTCTTCTGGATAGTGTCTCATGTTTTTGCTCAGAGCTAGTCTCAAATCATCAACTTCCTAGACATCCTTCCACACAGCTGGGAACTTACGGGCATACCACCACATCTGCCTTGTTGGTTTAAATAAAGTTTTGCTAACTGTTTGCGCAGGATGATCTAGAGCCATCCATAATTCTTTACATCTCCACCTCCGAAGTAGCTGGAATTACAGTTATATGCACCATGCATGATCTAGAGATATTTTTCCAATTTTTAACAAAATGTTTGTTATGGCACTTTCTTGCAAAAGTGAGGAACTGGATATAATTAACAGGAAAATATCAACACATGTGTATCATAACAACCAGACTATGGGATACAATGCAGCCCTTAGAAAGGAGATACATATGTGATTATATAGAACAATATCCATTACATTATATGAAAAAAGGACTGTTGAACTAAATAAATATGATCCTATAATTTGAAATAAATACTCATACACATACATTTATGTACATAGACAAAAGTCGGGAAGAATACATATTAAAATGCTCAGAAATACCACTTTGTATATCTCCTAATATATATAAAGTAGTCCTATGCATGTGCTGCTAATAACTACTCTAATAACTAAATGAAGAAATTATCCATTTTAATTTCTCGATAATTATACCATAGAATTTCTTATACTTTCTTTCCTGAAGACATGTACTTTAAAAATCTACAGCATCATTCAAGAAGACAAGAGTAGTACCTAAAACAGACTTTCTCAACCAGGGCTCCACAATAGAATTAAACCCTGAAATTTTATTTGATTATTTAAATGACTATTGTCTTAATTCTTCAAAGATGTCACATGGCTAGCCCCATTCTTCATACAAGAGAAGTTTGTTAATTTTACACAATGGTTGCCATAGGGCATTAGAGCTTAATTCTCTTGTTGGAAGTCAGTTCTGGCTGAGAAGGGCTAATCTAGACACTTGGCATCCTTCTAGAAGCTTGCAATAATTAAGGCTGTATTTTGACTCTAGCCTTTTCCATTTTCTACTTTGGTTCATTAGTTGTATAAAGAATATTTCATTGTGATATTTCCATCTACATATACAGTGTGTCCCCTCAATCTCATTCCTTCTCCACTGCCCCACTTTCCCTTTCTCTATTAAAAATTAGCTTGCATAACGTATATAAGGAGTTTCATTGTTACAATGTGCTCCCATCAATCTCACCCCCTCTGTCACTCTTCCTTCCCCTCTCCCCCCTTCCCCAAATAATTTCAATAGGTTTCCTTGTTCATTTTCATAGTCACAAGCAATCTTTTTTTACTCCACATTTCTTAAAACTATTTTGAAAAGTTTCACTTTTCTATATTTTTGTCTGTCATGGGGCTTGAACTCTGGGCCTGGGTGCTGAGTCTCAGCTCTTCAGCTCAAGGCAAGCACTCTACCACTTGAGCCACAGCGCTACTTCCAGTTTTCTGGTGGTTCATTGGAGATAAGAGTCTCATGGACTTTCTTGCCCAGGCTGGCTTTGAACCGTGATCCTCAGATCTCAGCCTCTTGTGTAGCTAGGATTACAGGTATGAGCCACCAGTGCCCAGCTTCACTCTTCTATTTTTTTTATAGATGAAAACAAACAACTTCAGCCATATTTATCCTTACTCACTTTTTTCATTAGCCTTCCCCTATCCCACTGCTACCCTTCCCTCCACAAGACTTTCCTGTCATTCATTTTTTAGTACATATTAATTGTATCAAGGGTACTGTTTGGATATAGCTAATCTTTTCTCTCTGTCATATAGAACCTAACCAGTCTAAAAACCAGATAATCTTATTGCATAGCCTACTCATGATATTATTTTCCTTTTTTGCCAGTCCTGGAGCTTGAAGTTGGCCTGGGGCATTGTCCCTGAGCTTTTTTGCTCATGGATAATGCTCTACCACTTGAGCTGCAGCTCCACTTGTGGCTTTTTTTCCCCTATAGTAACTGACAATAAGATTTCAGAGTTTCCCAGCCCAGGATGGCTTTGAACTCCGATCCTCAGTTCTCAGCCTCCTGAGTAGCTATGATTATAGACATGAGCCACAGGTGCCTGGCTTTATTATTTAATTTTTCAAAAGCTAACAGATTTCAACCCAACTCAAATTTACTAAAATTTTCAAATGATTTCTAATGTCTGTGGTAAGAATACAAAAAAAAAGATTGAAACTTTAATGATGTACAAAATTCATATATCTGTTACTAGTCAACTTTTGAAGTGTGAATTATTCAGGATTCTGCTAAGAATGTGCTTAACTCACTTAAATGTTTAATTATTGGTGTGAGTTCAAGTTGTGCCTTTTCCTTCTCTTTTATATGGACCATCAAAATTTCCCTTAAGGACTGGAGGTGCGGCTCAGTGATAGGGTGCCAGCCTACCAAGCATGAGGCCTTGAGTTCACATCCCAGGATGGCTAAGAAAAAACAATTGTGATGGAGAATGAATATAGTCAAAATACTTGTAGTTTGCTGACACTGATTTGGGAAAAAGGGAGATAAGAAAATAATAATAGAGGAGGTGAGTCAGGCCAAGGAACATTTTATATATATGGACATAACAAAATGAAATCCCCCTTTAGAAATAATTGAGACTAATAAAAATGTAAAAAGAGATTTCCTTTAAACCGTTTCATTAGCTTAAGACTTGTTACACAAAAGAAAAGGTCTTTTGAGTATACGTAAAATGAGGTAAAAATCAAATACCTGAAAAAAAAGAAAAGCAAAGAGATTTTCAGCTTAAAAGCCACTTTAAGACAGGTGCTAAATAGCTAATCCTTTTAGTGGTTAATAATCAGCTCTCAGGTCTGCTCATCATTTTCAGAGCCAAGCCTATACGTAAAAACTCTTGTGTTTATTCAGTCAGCAGCATCTGTTTCTAACAATAAGGCCATTTCACACTGAAGAGAAATGATGACAGTGAATCTGAGCCTTGGCTGTATATTCCAATCACATAGGAACCAGAAGCAACCCAAAACTAATTAAACACAAATCCCTAGAGATAGGACTGACACACTCATGCTACTCACCTTTCACAATCTGCATAATTTCTAAAACCACCTGAACAATTCTTAATCCTTGTTCTATTGTACCTATGGCTGCATTTGATCTATCAGCACACATGACAACTCTGTATTCCTTTTTCTTTGGGTAATCTTGTTCATTTGACTTTCAGGACACCACATCTGTCTTATTTTCTTCCTATTGTAGTCCAATTTTTTCTGGTTTCTATTTATCACTCTGATCTTTTTAACTTTGGTGTATCAATAGATACATTCTTAGATCTTTCCTCTTTTTTTTTTTTTTTTTTTTTTTTTTTTTGTCGGTCGTGGGGCTTGAACTCTGGGCCTGAGCGCTG